AAAACAGTTGACTGTAACAAATTCAGGAAAAAGGATAAGCAGCTTTCACTGCTAATCTCCTTTCTGCTAGCAAAAGTTAATTCATTATATTCCATACCAATTCAGATTTATGCCACCCAGAAATTTCTGGGTTAACCTGTAACTTTTATAATAAAATGAACACTAATTGTGAGGAAATAGATTCATATAGATAACACAGGGTAAGGCCAAATGATGTTTTCCTTTTTGGATATTTATTGTGCAGCAGTAAACTGAGATACAACATTTGAGCAGTCACACATTAACACAGAATGTTACAGTTTCAAATAAATTCATGTGTGCATACAAATGCAACAATTTTCTACCATGAGCATTGGAACCAAATGCACGTAACTGGTGCAACAACTCTACTCAATGGAGTTCAGAGTTGATTCTCTTTGTATTTATGCATGGTATAAAACAGTTCTGTAAGACAGGTTCATGTAAAGTAAAAAGTTCCATTTGACCATCTGTTTTGGGGGTCACAGTGGAAAGATTCACCAGTCCCTCATTAGAAGTCAACAGAAGCCAATGGCACACATATCAAGTGTTATAAGTGGTCAAAGAAAACACTGACAGCTGCAGTTTAACATCTGAATGTTCGGATCTTGTATCCTTACAGACTGCTTCATATTAAATTTCTAAAAAGGAAAAGATTGTTTGTGATCACCCTGTACATAGTAGTAGTTCAGTTCTACTGCACAGAAAACAATGCAGCTCTGTTACAAAAACTAGTCAGTTATCTCTGTTCATGCAGATAAGCAGTGATAATTCCGATAATCACACAAAGCAAACGTACAATGTGCAGGTAAAATGTAGAGTTTGTTAATGTGAAAGTTTGTATTACATAGAACAACTGAGATGTGATATCACAGTGACATTAAGTGCTGCACTATAAACAACTGTTTACACTTCAACCATTGTTCTTGTTCTTCCACATTGAGTTTATTCCATTATCAGAGCGTGAAACCACATTCCATGCAGGTTTTCTATCTCAACTAACTCACAAAACTCATTTAATGTACGCTATACCACAGAACATTTCATGTCCTCATGGCAGTGAATATAAAAAGATTATGGTCTTGTGGGATGCGATGCCATGTAGTTTGGTAGAAAGGTACAAATGTTTCAGAAAAAAACCTGCTGCTGAATCATGGTGACAGGTTCCATATTCACAGTTTGTACCCTGAAGATGGAGGCAGCAGGTTCCCTTCAATTGTTCCTATGTACCGAACTACACAGCCTCACACCCCAATAGAGCACACTTAATATTTTTATCAGTACAGTCAAACCCCTATTTAATGTTATCTAACTTAATGTTATCCTTCACTTAACAATCAGTTTCAATGATTCCAAGTCAATAATTTCACTGTCATATTTTCCACATTTAAGATTTTCAAATGTTTAGTTTTCAAATCCATTGGTCCCCCATGCAAAAAAAAACCTTACATGGGGGTTTCACTGCAAAGGGAAAGATAAAGTTTAGAAATGCTCTATTTTATTCAACTAGGGGAAAAAAAAAGATAAAAAACTTTACAAAATGGTGAAGCTCAGGGTATACAAAACAAAAATTTTGCCTCCAACTCCGAAAACAGAAGATGGAACCAGCTGCAACTAGTTCAGGTTGTGTCTAAAAGCTGGTTTTGGAAATAGAAATGTTGGATCTTACCACAGAATTCATCAAAATATTTAGTGTGGTTGTCAAAAAATAATCAAAGCAAAGACCCCAAAAGAAATGTGACATGTTCTGTATCAGCCAAAATGTACTAAAATCATATCTTATAAATCAGTATTGGCTGAACTCACATCTGGGTAGGCAAAAATAGTCATACACTTCCCAAGTGTTGGCTGAACTCACATCTGGGAAGGCAAAAATAGTCAGACACTTCCCAAATGTCTGCTCATCTGACTATCATTCCATTTTAAAACACTACTACAGAGAGTCAGTTTGCGACTGCCCACTCAGGCGCAAATGTTGGATGATCACCTTATGCAGACAGGCCGACCCATAATGCAAAAGTCTGCTTTCCAAAGAACTCATGGCAGCTGGGGATGGACTTCAAACTCTGTACATGTAATGTTATATTTCAGCATCCTATTGCACTGGGGCATCATTTTCTGTGGTCCTGTTCTCTGTGTATAATGCAATAGTATCAATCTAAACTTTAATCGACACTAAATCACATTTAATTCGCTACAGGCCAAAACATGCAGCATAGTATAAACACTGAATGTACATGTTTTAAAGACCTTTTAAACATTTGACAAACATTTTAGTGAATTAAATGTAATTTAGTATTGATTAAAGTTTAAATCTGAATGTGTAATGTTCTCCAATCACAACTGTTCATGCACCTGCCCCCTTCGGGCAGCAACAGAGGTTGCTATGTTTAGTTCTTGATGAATTCATATTAAAAAAAAATTCATTTCTATTTCTGAATTTGAAACAAGTTTGTAAATCAGGAAACAATGCAAATAAATTCAAGATCTGATTCGAGGTTTTCATACTGGCGAAAATTTAAATTATGGTTTTCAGAGTTACGAAGCCATGTAGTCTCGAAGGTGATTATCAACATTTCACATGAACCTGTTACTTCCATCTGCAAGGAAGATGAAGGCACCAGCTTCTTCAAAAACACAGGTCACCTTCACAACTACATGGTATTGTAACCTAAAGGAGAAAAACTTGAAACTCAAGATTCTAAAACCACAGATGGAATAGCTCAGTTGGTATCGTGACTAGGGTACAGGCTGAGCAAGCAAGGAATCAGGGAAGTCCAGCACAAAACATATTTTCTTCTCCAATGTATCAAGAATGGCCCTGGGGCTCACTAAGCCCCCTATCTTGTTGGTACCAGGGGTTCTCTTCCCAAGGGTCAAACAGCCACAGAATGAAGCCGACCACGCACCTTCATCTAGTGCTGAGGTTAGGTATGTGTGAAGCTGTACCTTTATGTTCATGAAACTTAAGTCAACTGACTATGTCAAACATTTTATAGTAGGACATACGCATCACTGCACAGTTTATATCATCAAACACACTAATTTACCAGCTACACTGAACGCAAAAAAAATATAAAATCATTTACTGCAATAAAAAATGGACAAATCAGTCTTGTTCTTTTGAAAAAGGCATACAACATTACAACAGCATTAACAAGAAAGCCCTTGCAGTGTCCAAAAAATGCACTGTCATCACATGCAGGACTGAGTACAATGTGCCTAAAACATCACTGAGGGTGCATCATACCTTGCGTAACTTAACCTCAAGGAAGAAATCTCTTTGTGTTAAATAAGATCAGCAGCATGGTTCTCATTATATGTTGTAAATCAGATCTTCTAATGACAAATGAAGGATCAATGTCACTACCTGATGATAATATCCCATCCCCAAGATGTTTCAGACACAGTGCAACTAACAGTTCCTGTACCTGATAATACATGTACATATGTATGCATACATACCACATATACTAAAACAAATGTCTGTGAGTAGTGGCTGACCTTCAATTGGTAACAGTTATTATGCATGACTGTACAACTCTGTGAAATGGGGTCCCAGACTCAGTACTGAATGCACTGTGTCAAAAAAAAAAATACACGGAGAAAGTAAATTAATCATCACATGGAGACAGTTCATAGGAAGTAACATAACAAAATCAAAATCTTCCTTTGGTAGAAATCACAACATCCTTCTCTTCTTCTGCGGGCATCGAATTGTGAGAAGTCTCAGGCTTTTCATTCCACTTTTCACTCCATCCTTACTGCCAAGTGTTCGCCTCACTTCCCTTGTGCACAGTGTTCCAGCAGTTCACAGGAACCAAGACAGTCTTGAAGCTCTCTACAGAAAATATCCTTACTTCCTAACACAGATCAATTTAAGTGCAATCTTCTCAACGTGAGTTCGGCAGGATCATTACACACAACTACGTACGCTGCTTTCAGTTTCACAATAATACTTCAGAACCCCGTCAACTGACATTAAACTCAAGGTCTCACTCACAGTAATGGCTTGACCATAAGACATGGCACAAAACAGGAAATACTGGAATCTGTACTACACAGAAGAGTTCTCAAGACTGAAATGTCACAGGGATGATCAGTTTCACCCTTTCACTGTTGTCCTGAAGCTAAGTTACATAGTGAAGGGGTTAACATTTGCACTGGACAACAGACCAATCAACTGTCAGGAATACTGACAGCAGAATGGTCCAGGGGGGACAGAAAAATTCCAAACTGTGAAGTCAAAACTATTCAGGGTCCCTGCTGGATTTAGTACGTTGTATGGGAAATCATTCTGGACTAATGGCAGAGTGAATCTGACAAGAAAGAGAACTGAAAATGGGCGTAATGATATGTTGTGTCTGAATATATACACTCTCTCCTGCTGAACTCGGTCAAAAATGCGGAAAATCAAGTTCCAGCCTAAAGTTAGAATTCATTAAAAATTTCATAATTAAAAAAAAAACATATTGGAATGGAACCTTGTGGCATGCTGCATGTTCAAAATAAACATATCTCAGTCTCTTGTAAACTCAGTCCAACACCAGAATTAAACAGACAATTTTAAATTTCCAACAAAATAAGCTGAACCTGGTGGATGTCATGAGCCTCAGAGCATTCAGAAGTCAGACAGCAAGCAGACAAAGAGGTTTCAATCCCTGTACCACTAGCAGAGAGAACAGACTGTGATCCAAATCTTATGCCTGTCCGTTACAGTTAAGCCAACAATGTAAGTGAGACCTTACAACACAACAATGCTCCTTATACCAGATCTAATTTGACATGAGAGGCAACAGTGGGCTATGAGGGCATATCCGTTTGTGTCTGTATGGAAATGGTTGGGGCAATGCCCGGGGCCTCTACAATAGGATGAGTTAAGGGGGCCATGATGGCACCAGCATGTGGGGAGTTTACCACATAACCATTATGATGATGATGATGGTGATGATGATGGTATGTGGTAAACACTGGTACAATACCTGGTACAGCCGGTATCACATTGGGCACATCAGTTGGAAGTTGCGCTAGAGTCTGCACTAGAGTGTGCTCGTCCATCAAGGTGTCCACAAGCAAGCCTTGAGTCTGCGATAGTTTCTCTAGGGACTTGACGTCCTTGTCAACAGCTTCCAAGGCCCGCTCTAACTCTTCAGTTTCTTCACGAGTGGGCTCATACTGTCCGTTCTTATCTTCTGTCAAGAAACAAGGTCATGTACACCGCATGGACATAACAAATAGCACAGACACACTGCAAACTGCCACTCTTACTGTGAAGAGAGAAGGTCAACAAAAATGTCCTGACTCTCATGGCAGTGGGAATTCAAACTGTGGCTTTCTGGGTTCTTCTTTTTCTCTTACTGAGTAACTCTGAATGATAATCATGAATTATGTACAGGTTTCCTCATACATAAGAGAATCATATCAGCAGTTTAGAGGGCAGAGTTTGTTAGTGATAGGTTGTCATACACAATACTAAGAGGTCACTGGTGTGATTTCATCACTCTGAATGTTCATGCCTCAACAAAGGACAAAACTGATGATATGAAAGACGGGTTCTACGAAGAACTAGAACATGTATTCAATAAATTCTCCAAATACCATATGAAAATTTTGTTAGGAGATTTCAATGCCAAAGTAGGGAGGGAAGACATTTTCAAACCAACGATTGCAAATGACAGTTTGCATGAAATTAGTAATGATAATGGTGTTAGAGTAGCAAACTTTGTCACATCAAAAAATCTTACTGTCAAAAGTACAATGTTCCCACGTCGTAATGTCCATACATTTTCTTGGACATCTCCTGATGGGAAGATACACAATCAAATAGACCATATTTTGATAGACAGGAGACGGCACTCAAGTATACTTGATGTCCGATCATTCAGGGCAGCATATTGTGATACTGACCACTGCCTGGTGGTGGCAAGGGTTAGGGAAAGACTGGCAGTGAGCAAACAAACAATGCACAGAGTTCATATGGAGAGGTTCAATCTCAAGAAATTAAACAAGATAGAGGGTAAGGGGCAGTATCGTGTTGAAATCTCAAATAAGTTCGCAGCTTTGGAAAACTGAGACACTGAGGTGGATATTAATACAGCTTTGGAAACTAAGAGACAGAATATCAAAATTTCTGCCAAAGAGAGTCTAGGTTATTATGAAATGAAGAAGCATAAGCAATGGCTTGATGAATGATGCTCAAAATTATTAGACAAAAAGAAACAAGCCAAAAAGCAGTGCTTACAGGATCCAAGCAAAATGAATGGCAATAATCTGAACAATATTCAGGAATAAAAAGAGGGAATATATGAAAGACAAAATTGGTGACCTTGCAACAAACAGTAAGAACAAAAACATCAGAGACCTGTATAGAGGAATAAATGAATTTAAGAGGGATTACCAACCTAGAAGTAACTTAGTTAAGGATAAGAATGGTGATCTGCTTGCAGATTCCCACAACATTTTGAATAGGTGGAACAACTACTTCTCTCAGTTAGTGAATGTGCACAGGGTCATGATGTTAGGCAGATAGAAATGCACACAGCTGAGCGATTAGTACCTGATCCTAGCCCTTTTGAGATTGAAATTGCTATTGCAAAAACTGAAAAGGTATAAATCGCCAGGTAGTGATCAAATTCAGACAGAACTGATTCATGCAGGAGGTGAAATATTATGTTCTAAGATCCACAAGCTAATTAATTTTATTTGGAATAAGAAACAACTGCCTGATCAGTGGAAGGAGTCCACTACTGTACCAGTTCACAAGAAGCGTGATACACGACTGTAGTAATTATCGTGGGATTTGACCACCTCTGTCATGTTCCAAATCCAAGTGTAGCCTAACGTGTTCAGATCCTGGGTTGCGGCCCCTTGCAGTAGGCGGCTACCAGTGTTTCAGAAGACCATCCTGTCTCCATGTTCAGGGTCAAAGTGTTAAAGTGTGATCTTGTTGCAAGAGAAGCGGTCACTCAAGAGTGACACCCACTGTCTCTACCTTCAGGGTGTAGAAAGCAAGCAGCTACCTATTCCCAAACATTCACACCTATCTACGTTGTGTGACATCTCACTGTGAAAACCTTAGATCACACGCAGTCCATTCTCTATGTAACAGCTGCTGTAAGCAACAGCTTTACATTCATATTCCTTCCAACCTCTTCTACCCTGAAGAGGGAGGCAGCAGGTTCCTCCATAACACTGGTACCTATCTCCCTGACAATACAGTGCCACATCCAAGAAGACTGTAATTTTGGGACTCACTGCCATGCAAAATTGCAATCTAAAAAGAATATTTTAAAATTATTTATTCCTCTTAACTATCAGCCATCTGATGTGCAACTTGTCTTTGAAAACCTTTTAAAATTTAAAACTTTAAAATCTCTGGTGTATGCACAGACAACACTGGTCATCTTCAGGTGTCTCTAAATTGCTGATGAAACTACTGTGCTTCAGTTTAATTTCTGGAATATGCCCACAACTATGCACCCATGCATCCTATTGTGTCATGTTGTGTGTGAGACAGCTAATAACTAACAGGAATAAACAAGTGACGCAAAACAGGATGCTATGGTGCAATATTGTTTTAAAATGATATTAACAATCAATGCAGAAACATGAATCCCTATAAAGGGAAACAAAAGCAAAACTGAAGCACTGGATACACGTTTTCAGAAATGCTGCACTTAAAACAAGATGGAATTAGATACATAACTCTTTGAGAAGTCAAAATTCAAGATTCTTTAACAGAGTTACAACAGGAACACTTACAATGCCTTCACAGAGTAAAAAAATGGACAAAGCAAGGATACTGAGAGAGGCATTGAATTCATATTTACAGGGCAGAGGCCCGTGGAAAAACACAGAACAAGACAGTTCAACAAGGCACTGGAAGAGACAAGAAGAGAGGAATGAACTGACAAGAAACCGAAGAGGAAAGATTGGGGTAAGAGAGAAAACTTCTGACACTGTACAAAAGAGAAGTAATGCTGGAAGAAGAGAATGAGTTAACACAAAATAAATGGGCAGCCCAACAACTACTTACAGGGTTCAGCACCTACCTGTGAAAAGGTCATTGAAAGCATCAGCTGGAATCTGGTTAAGGACATTGGTAAGGTCATGCTCTTCCAAGAGTCTTGATGCTTGGTTAGCCAACTCTGCCGTGTCCAAAGGCAGCTCCTCAGCCATTTCAAGCACTTCTTCCTCCACTTCAACTTCAACCTGCTGCTGCTGCTGTTGCTGGTGAAGGTCCATACCTGCAAAAACACATATACACTCGTCCTAGATCCCCACAAATTTGGTTATTCAAAAACTTACACACAGCAAGCTACACAAGGTCTTGCTGTAGGCACTGTTTTTCACAAAACACCCCACTGTTACCATGAACGTCATGTGGTTAGTGTGCCGCCAACATGAGAACTGTACTATGCTTCAAATATACTTCGCCTGTAACATCCTTTCAGGTGTCTCATACCTTGAGTACGCAGCCTTACATAAGAGAATTCCTGTGTGTTCAACGAGATCTCCAGTACGGCAATTTTGCTTCTAGTACCCTTCTAATGGTGACGTAACAACCTGTCACTCAAAGATGTTTTAGAAAAAGCACGTAAGACTTGTGTTGTGGTAGACTGAATAAAAATAAAGGAAAAACATTCTCGTTGAATTAGAACATGCGAAATATTCAGCGAGAGACGGATTTACCTCTAATCTGTGATTCTGAAACAGAAATTGTCAAGGTCCCCGGGGTGCACAGTAATGACAGTGACAGCTACTTACTTTGGTGTTCCTCCTTGATGGGGATCTGCTGCAGATCTTGTTCCGCAATTACACTGTTCGTGGCCTCCTCCTTTATGTACGGTTCCACCAAGCTCTCAGCTGGAGATGATGCCCCCACAACCATTTCTGTAACCATTACATTCATGTAACGAACTCCATCAAACTTAAGGAACTAATTATGTAACATACATTTTTGGTCAGGGGCACACAATCTTCACTATACAAACCTATCCATAATAAACATTTATACATAGCACAAGATCTCTGTTACAAGACACAACTCATTTATTTATTTGTTTATGGGTTATTTAATAACCCCTCAGTAACTCAAACTACACAGCATCAATGGTAGAATGATTAGTAAGCGATGAATTCTAAATGACAAGGAAGACAGCAGTCATGTTCTAATCTAAGGCAATGTTCACGGTTTTGTATGGAAGGGCTTTGAAAAACCTCAAAAACCCTCAACCAGACTAGCAAGTGACAAGGTTAAGAATGTCCTGCTGCCCAATACGTGTTCACGGTGTTGTGCTCGACTAGGTGCAGGAACCAATCTTGAATGTGGGACGTCCAATTATGGAATAAAGACTCACCACATGGTTCCTCTTGATCTGCCTGCACATCCATGGAATCAGATGGAGGCGGCTCAGGTGGACGTTGCACTCTACGCTTCTTCTTCCCTCGCTTACTTGGCCGAGTCATAGCTGACGGTTTGGCCTTCTTACGCACCTTCTTTGGCTTTATTTCCGCACACATCCTATCATAGTTGTCCTGGAACAAGCCCTGTTATTGCCTCTTCACTGATTAGAGGTTCTCTGTCTGTCACATATCCTTATGTAGATAAGCTCTCACAATAATGGCACAAATACAGGTACAGACTTCCTGAAAAATTTTAAATGAGGGATGGGGAGGGGAAACAAACATAAATAGCTGCCACTTTACCCCTTCCCATCCATTTCATGTTCACTCACAGCAGCCACAATGGAAGCAAACATACATAACATGCACACAGAAAGTTCAGGAAAATATTACACACCCACCACCTGCTGTTCTGAAATGTGAGTTACAAAAAGCAATGTCACAGAATATTAGGGAAATATATATATATACACAGGGTGTTTCACGATTTTAGGGCATAACTGCAGGAGGTGATTTCCTAGGTCTTTGTGATCAAAAAAGTTCATATAACCATGTGTCCAATTTTGGATGGTTACGGAGTTATGACCGTTTTAAACTCAGAATAGAAGGTAACGATTACTGACAATAAACGGAACAAAATAATAAACCAGCATAATACATGATACATTTAAAGTATGAATGTAAAGTTAACTTCATGAAATTAACTTTAATTTGAATTTATTGGTGCTTAAAGCTGATTTTCTAAAATGCCACCACCAGCTGCAACACAGGCTGCCGCTCGGCTGTGAACTGCGCGGGACACACCAACCCACCACGCCTTAGGTACCCCTCAAGTGTTGAGACAACGAGAATGCTCTGTCTGTAGCTGGCTAAAAATAGCGACCCGCCAGATGATAAAACGCGGTTCACACGAGGGTGTGTATGGGAATGAAAAAACGGTCATAACTCCGCAAGCATCCAAAATCGGACACATCTTTATATGAACTTTCTTGATCACAAAGACCTAGGAAATCACCTCCTGCAGTTATGCCCTAAAGTCGTGAAACACCCTGTATATATATAAAACACTTAGTATGAGATCGTAACAAGGCAGGAAACTCAGAAGTTGACAGTAGCAGGCTTCCAACAGTGGTCCTGTATGGGAAAAGTATTGTGTAATAACTGTTTAACAGATGACAGCAAAGAGTTAATATCAGGCATATGCGAGTCTTGATTTTCTTAGACCAAATTGAGAAAGTGAGAAAAAAATAAAGAGCGACCCTGATATAAAAGCTGATTTGTCAGTTTTGAACTTCAAGAATTTTCAAATAACTGCTTTTGTTTTGCTCAACAGTACACGAACTACCCGATCCACTGGAATCACAATGAAGTGCGACACTAGCATCTCTCTCTGTGCCCATGATGAAAAAAGGCATGGCCACAGAACTGTAGTTTTTTAAATACCGTTTATTACAGCATCTCACTGAAACTGGATCTGATAACAGAAGGAGTTAGCAGTAAAATTTAGAGCACTGTGACAAGTGGTTCATGTTACATATAAACTGTGATTACAGTGAAAGGTCTAATATAGAGTATTCTTGTTACCGAACTGCTTTAAATTTCTCAAGCTGAGCTTGGCTTGAACTGAAAAAGCCATTCTCACATTTGCCTCATTAACACACATACAGTGAAGCCCCTTTTTCAGATTTCTTAGGGAAGCAGTGGATTCCAACAGTGAACTGAGGAAAACCTTAAATGGCAGAAATGTAACACTCAGATTACTGGCCTGACATCGCTGAGACTGAACGTTAAGTGAGAGAAAGCTGTAAATGGAGGACAATTAAACGGAAGTTCCAATGTGTGATGCTGTATGTCTTTTCCAAGCATCGCACGGCTGTACCAGCACACGCAGTCTTCAAGAGCTTCTGCATCACATTACTGACAAGCTTAAAGCCTGATTAGTGGGAAATTGAAATCCAGATAATAAAGATTAAGTCGATTAAATTTTAGTTACTTCATGATTAATTATCCGCTACATCTTATATTAGTCACCTCAACTTGCAGCTGCCCGCAATAAAACAATTTAGTCTACTTCCACTATTTTGAAAAAGATAAAAGTAAGCTTATGAGAAAGCCAAGCTGTTTAACCCCACCCCCCATCAACTTTTGAACGTCTGAACAAATTTTTATGAAACTTGGTATATACATCATGCAACCCAAAGCCATCTCAATGGCCTACTTCACAAATATCTCCCATCAGTCTGTGTGTCCATGCGTGTATCCCCCTTCACTGCTAGGGACAGGTTGTTAAAAATGTTACTGCAGCAACGAATTCACACATAACAATAGAAGAATTGTTGGATGCATCGTTTTCTATGCAGTCTGTGTCATGTAGGAAAGTAGGTGATTAGTTCTTCCCAGAACTTCTTGTTAAACGTATGTCAATCACTTTAAATTTCTTCACAGCTACAGTCTTTCAGAGCATGTAAGTTGAAACCAAAACCACAACACACCTCCATTCCATTTTTTTCAGTATGTACATAAGATGGAATTTAAGTACCGTATTTACGCATGTATAGGCCGCATGCGTGTATAGGCCACAGCACAATTTTCAGACAGAAATTATAGAAAAAATAATTTTCTTGGAATATTATTTCAGGAGTAGAAATTATTCCGAAATTTGGCAACGTTAATTTTTTTAAATGAAGTGTGATTTTGAATATTTCGAATATAAGCCGCACCCCAGTTTTCCTCTTGAATATTTGGCAAAAAATGTGCGGCCTATACATGCGTAAATACGGTATATTCCACAGCACTTAGAGCAAATGCTGTTCCACTGCAAGATAATGTCACTAGGTTTCGCTTCTCAGGGACCCCTAGTCCTTCCTCTAACACTACATTCAGTACTTATTGCTCAATTATTTGTTTCACTTCTGGGTACTTAACCCCTCCCCTTGGAGCTGAGTCCTTCTTGAGAAGCCAACAGTAGCTCAGCAACTAAGCAGAGTGCAAGTATTTTATAAAACCTGAAGGTTCGCTACTACGCTCATAAAAGCCCATCACTGGTCCTTATCCTGAACCAGATAAATCCAGTCCACTCCCTTCCAACCTATTTCTGAAAAACGAATTTTAATATTATCCCCCAACCTATGCCTAGGTCTTCCTACTGATCTCTTTCCTTCACGTTGTCTCGACAAAACTTTGTATACACTTCTCTCCTATCACATGCTACATGCCCTCCCATCTCATCCTCCTTGATTTGATCACCGTGAAAACATATGCTGAACTGCGGTGGTCAGGCATGCGACTATTCAAGTGACTAGACTACCGTGGTAGCAAATATTACTAGAAATAGGACATAGTCTGCTGTACTGAGCCCAGACTGACAGAGGCCTTGTATATATTATACTTACTAGATAATAAGATTCAACTGAAAATAAGTGTACATAGTGACAATGGACTAATACTGTTGACTATGACTGACAAATGACAGACCCAACCTCTCGTCAGAGAGGGCACCCCACATGTACAGAACAGTAACTTCACTTAAAAAGTAACATCTGGTCATGAGCCCCAGCCAGGGCTTGACACCAAGACAGACAGACTGAACGACCATCAGTCGCAATGTGACTATGACTCTAACGTCATATGCCGAACTCTATAAATTATGGAGCTCCCCATTATGTGATCTTCTCCAGCCTCCTGTCACTTCCTCCCTCTTAGATCTCCTCTGCACCTGTTCTCAAACACCCTCAGTCCATGTTCCACCGTTAATGTCACAGACCAAGTTCCACATTCATACATACCAAGAGGTGATGTTACAATCTTTACATTTCTAGATAGCACAGAGATGTCAAAGATTCCAAACTGAGGTACAGCAATCATTCCCTAAATTTAATCTGCTCTCGATTTCTTGGTGAATGTTATTTTGAACTGTTAACGTAACTCTCAACTATTTTAACCTAAAAGCATACTGTCCTATGCTCTGGTGATGAGATTTCTATGTATCAACAAGTTCAAATGACTCGTGTCAAGCACCACTCATCGTAGTGAGCTTACTAGAGATAAGACTTGCGATACAAGACTTTCCCATCTCTCTACTACAAGTAAACCTTTTATTTTAGAAGCTTTTAAACAAAATTCTGACTAACCCGTTTCCTTGCATGCTCCAAGCAGAGAGGGAGCTCATGACAGATGTCGAACACAGGCACACAACACTGCGTGTTGTCTGAGAACTTGGCAGTACAGTGCTCGAACAGGAGTTGATCCACATTATACATGATGTGGCGAATGCAGTGCTGCGTGCATGGAAGTGCAAGGCTGGAGCACGCATCCGCTTCCCCCTTCCTGTAGCTGCACATTCGTTTCACCAACATCGTCAGCTTGGACCTGCAGACACAAGCCAAATGTACCTTCACAACACTGCCGGTAACACAGATCATACAGAAATGGATAGGTGGAACACAGTAAATAATTAATCGGGAAGACTGTGGAAGGAAGTGGTAATCACCTAATTTGAGATTCTATCCTGGAATCTGCCTGAAGGGATGGAGGAAAACCATAAAAATATTGTAATGATAGTTGGGAGTGACTAGTTCAAATCTTGCCCAGGACACCGATTATCTCAAATTAATTCCTCCAGCCACTTTCCCCAGTCCCTCTAGGAAGACTCCAGGATAATACCGAATCCTTTACACTTGTTGCTACCGGACACTGTGCAGTCTGAGACACTGGATGTACAGATTAATAAAACATTAAGGAATAAATACAAATACACAGTGTCATTACCCAGTAATCCAAATCTAAATCTTTACTGCTGTGAAAATTTTGTATCACAGCTCAAAAATATATGAAAGGATCATAAATTGTTCTTGTGGGCTATTTTATGGTGTTCGCTATAGCTAGACTATATAGTATCAAATGTTAGGAAGACAGACGAATGATGAACTGGAAAGGATCTGAAATGAAGCAAGCCTATGTGGGGTATATTTTTATAATCTTTTATAATTACCATAGGGAACATAACTGGTCATGAACCATACTTTCCTCCCACTTTTGTCAACATGAACTGTTTTGTTTCTTTCCAGCCAACATCTGCATAACGGGTTCATGATTTTGGTTGGACATTAATATAAACTGTGCCTTCATATCAAGTGTAATGTGGTGAGATTTCAACATTTCACAGTAACACAGCTGTGTGGAACACATGGCCACTGACAGTCATACCAACCTATTGTGCCTCATGTGACTATGACAGCTCTTCCCATGCTGAGACGATCGCACGAAGAGAGCTGCTTGACTAGGATGCCTCCGAGCTGAATCCAAGAGAGCGTCTACTAGCAGATTTGAATGCTGATTTCTCCCACGAGGGCCTAATGGGAGTAGAGGCATGCCCTTCCAAGTCTGATTCACCCTTCTGCGCAGTTCTGACCTTATCTGCACCAAACGACTTCCCCGCTCACATGGCAACCCAGACTCCAGTAACGCAGAAAACCAATGCCTCTGATATACTGGTGCTTCCTCAGAGTCGGTCTCATCGCTATCGGAGACCTCTACACCTGCAACATCAGGATTATGGGTAACTCCCAAACATCATTATCAAGTTTCAGCTCATCAGATGATGTAGAGTCAGTCTTGTTGCTATCAGAGACCTCTACACCTGCAACACCAAGATTATGGGTAACTCCCAAACATCATTATCAAGTTTCAGCTCGTCAGATGATCTAGAGTCGGTTTCGTCACTATCAGAGACCTCTACACCTGCATCAGGATTATGGGTAACACCCAGACATCATTATCAAGTTTCAGCCCATTAGATAATGTGGTCCTCAAACTTTAAGTTGTCCCTATGCTTAATTAAGCACCACAGCATGGAGTCATATGAAGGGAGTGGAGGTATAGCTCCATGTGTAGTTAACCTCCACAGTACATGGAGATGGGTGGTCGGCTTCCATGCCCCAGCTACTCTACATCCACGAAAAAGAGCCTCACATGCCCAACGGTCAAGAGGCTGGGCGGAATCCATGGCCAATTTGAACAGGGCAGTGAAGGAGAAAATCGCTTTCGCCTGTTGGAAATTGAACCCCAGTTCCTTGGTCATCCAGGCCATGACATAGTTACTCTACTAAATGAGCTATCCCAGTTACCAAACCTCATCAGTTCACTGAATCCCATCCTTGACAAATCACAAGACCACAGTCCCATCTTAAATAGTTTCTTCTGTATTTCAGCAACCTGTTTCACATCTTTAATTAAACATCTATGTATTAAGTCTGTCAATAATGCAACAATCATTAAAATATTCACTATTTAACACTAACACAACATGTTTTGGCCACACAGCAAGGAGCATATTACAGATTTCAGCTGTAGCAATACAACGGGCTAATGAAACAGAAAGACAAGCTGCTGAAACAAACTTCCTGGAATATCATATAGCTTAGAAGGTGGAATAGGATTTTACGAAAGATTTTAATATCAAAACAATTTTAATGAATTTTAAATAATTATTTGTTATTTAAGTAGACTGCAACGCACAATTTTAGCGCACATCAAAGCAGTGTAGCAGCTGGATGCATTGAAACAACTGAGGATGGCCATCTGTGGCTGAAACATGTTGTGTTAATGTTAAATAGTGAATATTTTAATGATTGTTGCATTACTGATGGACTTAATACAGACGTTTAATTAAGGGTTTTCTTCCATATATGGGACATTTCTCAGACTGGGGTTTGAGCCCAGGAACTCTCAAATTCAAGGCAAGATGGTTACCCATTACATCATCATGAGCTGCAGAATCCATGAAGAGGAGTTCCATGCTTTTTGTGGTCCCTTCAAATAAATCTTAGAGCATCACTTCCCACTCCAATCATTTCCTCTATCACCCACCACCGCTGCATCATTGCGTCACTTACACTTCCCTCCCCAGCCACAAAAGGGGACAGACTAGTTCCTGGTGACAGGTGAGTGTGGAGCACTAATGGAATAACTGGCAGGGGAAAACTGAAGTGCTTGCACAAACACCTGTCCCATTATCGCTTCATTCTCCACAAATCCCACACGAAATGACCAAAACTGAACCTGGGCCTCTGTGGTGATAGTAAACAGTCTAATAATTATAATCAAGGTCACAGTTACGTTTATGGTTCAATCTGATATGCAGCAGAATTCAATGCAGTGGAATCCCCATTTAACATTTCTCAATTTTAGGTGTTCCTTCACTGAAAATTCAATTACAATGATCACCTTCAATAACATTCATTTAAATTAACTCCCATTAACATTTCCCTTATTTCAGTGCTCAAAACAACTGGTCCTAAGTGAAACGTCAAGTGGAGGTTTCACTGGAAAAGGAACCAATGTTGGTAACTAAATTGTAATTAGCCCAGCAGGAAGCATGGCATTAGATTCTGTATAAGACTGATTCCTGGCTCATTTAACAAGGTTCTTCCAACTGCACTGGTTACACAGCACAAACTGGAAAGGATCTGGAAGTAAGCATCATGAACATCATAAGGAAGGTCACATGGCAGTCAGTTCCTAAGTCGAAGGGCGAACCATGAGAAATATCCAAAATACAACTAAGACCTAACCACTAAACCCTCAAGTCTGGCACATGATATCTAACCCTGTGGTAGACAGTTCGTCTCAGAGTACTCTGCAGTTACTCCCCTGTTCAAGAAATTAATCAGTTTCCAAGAACCTGAAAGTACATCAAATCACCCCAAATAAACTCACCAACAGAAATACAAAGTCTGAACAAATGAGCAGTTTGGGATATTAGAGAAATGAGAAACAACTCAAGAAAGTGTGTAGGGTTACCTAATGGGTATAGATCCTGTGAATAATCCCTCAGTGCCTGTTGTGCCGAGTGTATCCGCTGCAATGTTTCGTGTCTTGGCACTTCATTCTGCCTTGAAACAATTTTGCTTCTTCTTCTCTTGTTAGGAATGGTAGCCATCGCTGCATGGGATGAATGATTCATCTGAGGTCTGTATGTAATCGCATGTCGAGAGGCTAACAAGGGAGGGCTTGCAGAGTCTTTCTTCAGCAACACCTCTGGTTTGAGTCCAAGTAACTGTTCTTCCAGCAAACTCCTCTCACGTTGAAGTGGCCATAAGGTCCGAGCACTGGAACTGTTCTTCCCCATACTGGCGGCAGTATGGGCCAAAGGTGTGTTGCGGAGAGAAATGTCGGGACTTTGCCTTGACGTTCTAACTTTCCTATGCTTGCCTATAACTTTGTTCCTAGCTATTTTAGCTTGTAACCTATTCATAGTCTTAGAACTCTCGTCATCTGACACTTTATCACCACCACCACCACCACCACTCATAACAATGTTCTTTGGCTGTATGTGAGGAGTCAGAGATGAATTCAAACCCACAGAATTTGATGGAAATAATTGTCCAAGTGATGCTGATAGAGCCGGATACAATTTCCCAGCGTTCATATCGCTGCTACCTGACGTAGGTGGCGACGCAACTTTAAATCCAGATTTCTGACATGATGAAGGTGGTCGCAGCTTAGACGTTAATGCAACAGAGCGACGTGAATAAGTATGATTTGGGTTTGGATTTTGATACAGATGGATAACCTGTGGCTCAGGTTCGCTGAACGCATAAGGATCATCTGACTGATCCACTGACTCATCTTTAGCCAATGTCGTCTTAGTGACAGTGCCAGCAGCAGCTGGGGCTCCAGATTTGAGGAGAGCCTTCAGTCTGTCTGAAAACTTAAGGCGACCATCCACTGAAGAAGTGGGTGATGGGACGTCATCCTTCCTCGGTACCATTTTTCCTTTCTTGCTCTTGCAATCCTTCGTTGCCATGCCAGCAACCACCTGCGTGTGGCCGTTACAGTACCTGTCAAGGAGAACATCTCAACATTACCTTACTTACTAAATCTTATGACTAACACATAACAAAATTTATTCCACTATCATTTAATGGCATTACAGAAAGAAAAAAATTAAATTAGATGACCATAAATAAAAGACTAACTTTATATGCTCTTCCTTTCTCACCCATGTGTGCTACATACCCTGCCCATATCATAACAGAAAACTACCCACATAAAGTACTCTACGTCTCATCAAATGATCCAAAAAGTTTATTTATGCAGAATTTTACGCTGCTGCATTTGTCTGGAGACCAATTCAAAAACACAAAACCCAGGCGGTGCAACACGCAGGAAATGACATTGCAGTGCTCAGGTTAAGCAGTGTGTACATAAAAACACCACTGCATACAGAAACCTTGTCAACAATTATAACACATCAGATACAATATATTATCACATTTAGCTACATACTTCAATTGCAAACATCCAACAATATGCAGATTCTAAAGAAACTGATCTTTACTGCTTATGTTGCCAATACTGGCCAATATGATCCTAGTGTCTCATACTGAACTTAAAATTTAAAGCTTATATATAAAAATGTAACATTATTATACAGCTGCTATTAGTACCATTCCATGCAAGTCAGCATTATGCCACCTGCGTCATATGTCTTGGTATTACTGTAGTTTCCTTTTGCTCATGTCTTGTATATCACACAGCAACTCACATCATCCACCACGTCAAGCAATCCTGTACTGGTATACGCTCATGTTAACAATGTCTCCTTACCCTTACTGCTGTAGGTACGACAGTGTTGATGTTTCACTCCATGTTTCAACAGGAATTTGGTGTTAATATTCTGTTTTGTTGTTTTCGATATTGGTAGATGGTACTGTTGTTAAATTGAGGTGGATACCGAGTTTAGTTGTTGTGTGGCTCACACACAGAGATAGCAGCTGAGTCTACATTATGCTCACCAACCCACCTGACTCACCAGTGGCCACTAAGAACTGCAGAAAGTACACGAACCTTGCATTTCCTCCCAGGCCCAAATTGTACATTTCTGTTTCATTTTGCAACATCATTTATCTGCTGGTATGGTCTCCCTGCAACTGCACCATGCAGAACCAACACAACAGCTCCCAAGTTGCTTCCTGCCTCAGAGGCCATTATTCTGAAACAACAACAATGACTCTGCCACAACACAGTAGCATCCTGTATCCATGTTCATGGCTAAAGGACAGAACTTGGAGAAACAGTTATCTTGTGTGCTGTGACACTGAATTCCCTTGTATGTGGATACTGTTCTGTGGGTCACTGGTATCCATCTACAAGACTACAGGATCACAACACAGAACACCATCTTCTTAATACCTCCCATCAAGAAAACCTGAAAACTCTCAACTAAGAAATGCCTATTTCAAAACTCAACAACAATAATAATAATAATAATAACAAAGCAATACTATATTATGAAACTGCTTTGAGAACAGGATTGGCTTGATGGTCTGACTCCATCATTTCTTACATTTCTAAATCTATATGTTACAAAGAGTTCCACTAGATGGGAATATGGCCATGAACAGTGAGATGCCCGCCATCTTGGCTTATTTCAAAGCAATACTCTGGCGTCCCACAGAGGAGAATGAAGAGAAGTATAAAAACTGACGCAAGCAGTATTCTGGCAAAGATTCCAAATGCTAGTCCACATGAGATCTAAGGTTCTCACAGTGCTCAATACTGAGATTGTAGTGTTTGGGGTGTGACGCCATGTAGTTTGGTAGTATACTTCTTTTGGCTTATTTTGGACTTCACCCATCGTCTGGTATGTAAAAGACAAAAGACCACGACATTTCGGAGACAGATCCAGTCTCCGAAACATCGTGGTCTTTTGTCTTTTACATACCAGACGATGGGTGAAGTCCAAAATAAGCCAAAAGAAGTACAGTATACACCACTGTCAGAATCCTTTCAAGTCTAACCTAGTTTGGTAGTGTCTGAGGAACCTGACACCTCAACAAATGCTCCTACCCAGCAGATGGAGGCAACAGGTTACTTCAAAATGTTGGTACCCATCTACCAAACTACATGACATCACAGGGAGGACAAAAGCAAGTATGAGCAGCTGTTACTGTACTTAGGCCTTTAAAAGAAGAGCCATGGATCAGCTTCGTCTACATCTCCCCAAAACTGTTACGCTTCCATTCCCAGTATATTTCTACCTCCCTCCCGTCAGCTTTCTAGCTGCTCCTTCTGCAGAAATATTGGTATGGTCCATCTAAAACATTATGATCATCAGAAAGTTACAAGATCACCACACCATATATCTTGTTGAATGAACAGAACGTTTCTCCCATAAAGTTGTCTAATCAACGTATGACAAACACTCAAAGATGTTTTTCTGCAAAATATAGTGATAAGCATGTAACAATCCCAGCGAATATGAAGCGTTTGTGGCCTGCAAGTCAGGCACAAAGTGGCAAGCTTCGAGCACTAAAACCCACAGGATTTCTTTCTGTGTTGCCACTATAAGCTGGTAGTGAACAAGATGAAGTTTCCTGTGTGCCAAAACACGCACCTAACATGGGATTTGTACACCGTTAAATAAGGCTGAAGAGCACCTACCTTGTTTGCACTGATCATACATTTACACTGATTCCTCCATTTGTGGTGAACCTATTAATACTGCTCCTGTAAACTCGATATCCAAATGCACATTTATCCATACCTGAAACAAAATTAACTACTTATCACTTCAACAGATGCTATGTGACCTAAAGCAAAGGTTCTGAAAGTGTGAGCCATAAATTATGGTTTACGTATTACAAAGGCAGTCTACAAGCTAATCCTAAGATTTGTGGTTGCAATGGTAGTGTGTTCACACTGCTGTCTTCCAGGTTGAGACACAGTGGAAAAAGGGGGGGGGTTCTTGTAGGTAGATACGAATGACCCTAAAAATGTGTTTATTTATGGCTTATTTAATGATCTGAGTAACTCACACAATGGTAGGATGGAGGTGGCTGATTGTCTAAAGTTTGCTCAGAACACTAATTCTTCTGATGTTTCTCATGGTTTTCCTCAGTGCCTCCAGGCAAATTCCAAGACATGCTTCCTCCCGCACCCTTTCTGATCTATTATTAACTATCATTCAGCCACTCGAAATTACATAGCCTGGATTACTGACAGTGTTGTTACATAACTACAAATAACTAAATCTTGGCTGGGACACCAACTATCTGGTTTTTCTCAGTCTATCCAGGAAAATCTGGGATACTACCGAAACTGGTCCACAGCTGCTTCCTTCCACATCCATTCCAATTCATCTGTCATTAATTATCCTACAATTCAATGCTATATAGTTTTGAAACTGTGTTAAACCACAAAAGAAATCAAAATGGAACACTGTTCATGGCTGTTACCTCTCCAGATTCACAAAAGAAACCAAATGGTTCAAGTCTGGATAGAAAAGAAATATTGTGACAGCTTGTATGGAATCTCATGGTGACCTTTCAATGAATTCAAGGTGAGCAATTCGGAAGAGACTACTGTTGTTTTATTCAGCCATACCAGATTCATCTGTTTAAACTGCCTTCACAGTTTTGCACTTAACCATTATACTGAGTCAACTGCAATGCTACCTGACGTCAGGAAAATCATTTGTTATATCTTGCTTGGTCAAGATTATACATTTCTAAACCCACACATTCCACTGTCAATAATACCTAATTTCTGGCACAGTATAAACACTGAACAATAATTTATAAAACAAAATTTTTAAAGTGAGGTTATGTCTATGTGTAAAATTATGTGTAACTATCTATCAAGTTTAGGAAAATAAATATTATATTGTGACGTGTAATATTTAAATATTACTGATAAGTATTTGAGAATCAATGACCTTCTGACTTGCCATGAAATGAATCCTCCAAAATGCCATCACCTTTAACACAATGCTACTTGCAAATCTTCTCCCATATATTTATTGAGCACTTTGGTGAATAACACAGGTGTCAAAAATCTACTAATATTTATGAAGCATCACTATCTTTTTACTTAAAAACAACTACCAGGCATTGAAATTCATTTTTAAGAACCAAAGCTGAATGTTGGAGTGGCAAAATCAAACACCAATGGAAGAATTCCAACAGCAAGTATAGCAAAGGTATTTTCTTACTATATATACCACCTACTTTAACGTTAAGAAAGATGCAACATATTACTTGGACAGTGTATTTACAGTTTTCATGTTCACTTGCAATAAACAGTAATTAGTTCCATAAATATCAGTAACCAGTTGGTATTTATAATAGAAATGTACTCTCTGTGATCCAGAAACTGGATACTTGAGTATTATTCGGATAAATTTCAGGCTGCAAAGGTTCCAAACTGAGTTACTTTTCAGTGAGTATTATAATGCCTTTCCACAAACTTCACTAATGGTTATTCAGTTCAATAACCATGCCCACCATACACCCAATATTATATCTGTTGATTAATGGGCACTTTAAAGATGCTTTCTCAGTTGCTGAAGTTATTTAGACCTGACTGCGGTAATGGAAAGAGTCTATTGTGGTCTCCTGGTTCCAAGACCACATGCTCCGTCATAAGCCAGAAAACCAAAATATGAAGTGAAAAACTCATACGTCATACAAGAGACAGTACAATGTTTACTAGAAGCTGGAAAAGGAAAGCCCTAGGTGAAACTGCCCATAGTGTACATCAAGGTACAACCCATGAACAGCTATGTCTGTTCAATTCCCACTCTCCCCAACGTGATATCAACTGCAAAGGTTAGTTGTGGTTGAAAGTCATTACAGTATCCAGACTACAGTCTTCTGGGATGTGACACTGGCATTACGGAGGAACCACTGCTTCCATCATCAGGGAAGAAAATGCCGTGCCATAGCTCAAGCATTTAGTCACTGGCTTCCCAACGCTGTGGCCTGGATTCAAACCCAGGTCTGGTCAAGTGTGATTTGTGGTGGACAAAGTGGCACTGGGGTAGGTTTTCTCCAAGTACTTCGGTTTCCCTGCCAATCTTCATTCCACCAAATTCTCCATCATCATAATCACCCAGGGCAGGTACAATAGGCCAATCAGTGGCCACCGTGCTGAGTGGGCCCAACTGGACTCCACCCCCCTCTACGTGAATTCAGGGAAGAAGGGGTGAGCTATCAATGCAGCCTCTTATTCAACTGATAGTAAGGACTCTTTCTTCATCAGTAGAGCAGCAAGGACATGAAGCTGACCACTCACACACATCTATTGCCAAGGTTACAAACATGGAGCTATAATTGCACTGCCATGTATATCTTCATGGCATAGTGCTTAATTAAGCACACGGACTTTACCTTTTAACTGTCGCTAACCAAGACGGCATACAGCAAGGTTCAGTGAACTGAACATACAACATATATGTGCTAATGTTTACAATATGTGTTTAATTGAAGCATAATGACTTCTCCAATCGAAAGCACAAGGTCATGACTAAGCCACCTTTCTTCAAACCATTACTGTGTTTGGAAAGCACATAGCTGCCATATCACTGTTACCAGAAGGATCACAAATGTCCAAGCCTCGCTTCATCCTATGATATGCAACCATGCAGAACATTTCCTCATATATGTTGCTCTGATGCCTGAACACGCCATGAAAGTACAGCTCCACATGCTGACCCAGCAATGGTCTTGTGATCAAATGGGCAGGATTCCTGCTTCACATTCATGAGGTCCCATGTTCCTGTGTCCCTCAAGGGACAATTCATCATTATTCTGCAGTCATTCAACAGAATACAGCCTGAGCTACGGATAAAATCATTAAGCTGACCTCAGCACCAGGCAGAGGTGAATGCTCAGTTTCGTGCTCCAGCCATTGCAACCCCAGTAACCAGGAGAAAGGAAGATTTGGTAGGTTCAAACTCCTTTCTTGAAAGTGAGGACAAAGAACTGAACTGTGCAGGTATTCCATCACATTACTGGCAGAATTATCCCAGAATTATTCCTTCAGATGGCACGACAAAAAGCTCCACAACTTTCTGCCTTAGCCTTCCGACTGCCATGCCCTGCCATAGAAATGCTTGTTAGGAACATTAAGGCTGCTTGCAGATGCACATAGAAATCATATTCCTTCCACAGATTACCTTCAAACAATCACAGGCATACATAGCTTCAAGGCCTGTTCTTTCCTCTAATATCAGTAAATGACACTTGATGCCATCTATTGACAAAAATGCCCCACTAAGTAACACTGGACCAATGTCTTTAGCTCTTGCAACAAACAGCCAATGAGACCAGCTCATGGCAGCCCATCAGATTAACTCAGAATGTGAGAAGGATTAAATATGTTTTAATCTGGCAAGCTCATTCATTTTATCCACCAACATTTCCACTTTTCAGTAGACTAAATATTGATACTGTATGCATACAGACATAGGATCCCTCACTCACTATATGGAAGCTGGTTTTGATAAAGTTAACTGCAACTGGAACTGAGTGTATTCATGACAGGACTCAAGAAACACATTTTAAATAGCCAACAGGACTGGCTTAGAGGTATTCAGAAGGTGCCTGGTTCAAATCTTGCTCAAAACACTAGCAATCCTGACTGAGGTTTTTTGTGGTTTTCCTCATTCCCTCCATGCAAATGTCAGGCTAGTAACTCAATTAGGTCATGACCATTTCCTTCCTAATCCACTGCAATTCATCATTCATCAGTCACATTATCACTTAATCCAGATGACCTCTACCTCAAATACTCCAGTTCAGAGAGGGTTTATTGTAATTTCAAGTAATTGGCCTATAATTGTATTTTCCCTATTCAAATGATAAACTTAAAATTCACAATTTCCATATACCAGGCATGAAGTGGGTTGCAAGTTGCATGGAATTTTTTTCAATTGTTTGTGAAGTTCTCAGAAAAAATATGTATCAATTATCTTTATTTTTTACAAATGGAATAAACATAAAAAACAATCTGCCACATGCATGTGAACAGATGCTATCCAATCCACATGACAGCAGCTCCAAAACTTCTGAAAATTATCCAATGCAACTATAATGTTTAAGTAAGTTTGGATACCTCTGTTACAGAGTATGGAGTTCATCATTTTTTTTGTGACCAGAAACTAAAAACTGGAAAATCTGCATAGAACCATCTGCTGTAATTCTGTTCAAAACACTCAGGAAAGTAAAACTTGTAAATGTATTCTAAATTAGCACATCCACTTCTCGCTGTCCCTGTGCAACTTTGTTGATTTACTAAAATCCACACTTCAAAAACATTCGTCTCTTCCTATTATTTGAACACTACATGTTCCGGCCAAACTGGCTAACGGATGATGGCCAGCTGGGGCGAAACATGTAGTGTTCAAATAAAAGAAAGAGATGAATACTTTTAAAGTGTGAATTTTAATACATCGACGAAGTTGCACAGGGATGGCCAGAAACGCACGTGCTAATTCAGAGTTCACAGTGCAACAGGATACTGCAGTATAATACTGTGGATGTACAATTGGCAACATATGAGAAACCTAATCCAATACTGTTCAGATGCTGAAACAGAGACAACATCGGTTGGACATTTAGCTTATATGGTACTGATGAGGAAATCATAAAACAATTCGCTGTTGCACTTCTTGGAAAGCAATAACTTGTAGGAATAAGGACAGGGGTCCAGCAGACAGCTACAAAGTCATGTAGGGTTTGAGGTATCTTGTGGGATATAAGGCCATGTAGTCAATTTGAAACATCAGTTGACTTTCAACAGACCACACAGCATGATATCCCAGAATATAGTACCATTAAACTATAAGGTAGATTTTAGAGAAATCAGTTGCCAGGATGTGAAGTAGATGAAACCAGTTCAGAAGCAGAGTCTTACTGTATTGGAAATACCGACATTTTGGGTCCTGCAATGTCTATTCGCTTAACTTAAAGAATATTTATGCGTACACTTACTTCATTGTTTATTGGCTTATATCATGCGTTGGTCATTTCAACAACACATACATTAATAATTCATGCAGGAGACATATCATATGGGCTTCATACATTATGCCCTAACCTAACCTGTCATTACAACTATGCACATTATTATATTAAATAAAACAACACGGAATCTGATATCCTGCTCTGATTCATGAGTGACAAAGTATTCTTCAGAAGATACTTGTTACCACATTACTTCCCACTTTAATGTGCAATTTCAACCAAACCCCCAAAACCCAAAATTAAACATTAGATACAGACAGTGAAAACACACACTGAGAATGTTCTCAGGTTATTAGGCATTCTTTACAAAGAAAAAAAAAACTTTATGTGGAGTTCATGTGTCTCTTCTTGTCTGTCTCTGTCTGTCTGTCTGTCTGTCTGTATACAACCCTGCATCAGTTCCTAAACTATGAGACAGTTTATGTATATATATATAAGAAACTTTCACTGAAACAATCAGACAATTTCCTCCATATTCTACCCTAATAAAGTTCACTTTACTTCATGCCATGAATGGATAAACAAGTAAGCTTACTAAATTTCTGATGATTCCATTAGTAATTTATGTAGTAGTCCTACATCTTATCCAGTTTGTTATTAACACATACTGTAATAAGTACTACAGTTATCCTAGCACCAAAATTATCTTATAACCACACAACACAATAATAAATGTAACTTTATTGCACTGCTCACATGGTCTTTGGACAGCTACATCTACCAGCCACACCAACGCCTATATAACAATTAACCTTTATATCTAAAAAAACGAATATGTACTGCACTTACGTTACATACATACGGAAAATCGTTCAAGGGGAAAAAACAATGAATATCCATATGGACTGAATTAATTACAATAGCCTGCAAAGATTCTTCAAAATTCAACACAAATTAAATAAATTTCATTATCTGATACAGATTTTTTAAATGAACACATTGGAATCAACACACTACCCATTCAGTGTAATTCCTTAAATCGCCTACAACAATTATTTCACTATGAATGTTTTCATGGGACAATGTATACATCATGCCTTTCTTTAGTGAACTATGTAACAAAATTGTCCGGAATGAAATGGATGAACATACAGTACTGTTGCCGTCGAAAACTTCTTCTAATTCCCATCGAAAGATGCAAAAATTTATACGGTTAAAGTGAAACCCAAAAACGTCTAAAAGTTAGGTTAGAACTATAAAATAGATATTTCAGTGTTTTGACTTACAAACTGTGTCACTTCCAGCAATTTAAACCTGGAAATTATTACATTACGTATCTAATAAAATACTGCTGTACACTACATCTGCGCATTTATAAACATAAAGACCATTTTAAAAGTTAATATTCAGTCATAGGCTTAGTCCAGGCTAGTAGGCCTATGAAGGGTGATACTTACTAGGGCCTAGGCTCAGTATTTCAGTTTTGTTTTCGTTTAGGCTAATGCTCTTGAAACATACACAATTGTTACACGAAATATTATTTTTCATTAGTCCGAAAACTTAAGCGAAAGGTATTCACATAATCTGATTGAACTGAGAACAATTGTCAGAAATTTACAGCAAAATGGCTGCCGCGTAAGGATCCATTGTTATTTTTGTGTCGTAGGCCTTCTCTTGCAAATCACGCAATATCAATAAATACAGGAAACTAAGACCTAAATAGTATCAAATAACATTTAATACTAACTACAACATTACGCAATACATTACATTTACAAATCATGTACCTAAATTTTCAGTTTTAAATCAATAGCCGGAACGTAAGTTACAACAGACGTAATATAGGAGGGAACCAACATTTGTCGGTCATTAAACATTTCATTACATATAAATTTTCAAATATATATCTATTAACAAAAGTTTTAAAAATCAAAATATGTACGCATGTGAATGTGTAATACGAATTGACCCTCTCAATTGTATAATGCATAAATGCTATGTTTTACAAACGCACTACATTTTCTATTTCGTTCAGAAATACAGCTCATTTCACACTACGAATATCCATGGAATCCATTCGAGTCATAGGACTCACTCCACAGTTGTATTCAGAAATATCTCTCTAACATTTTAACGAAAGCGGCGAAATATCGAGAATAAATATGAGTTCTATTAATCTAAATTTATTATTAACCAGTAACATAATTGCAAATTATGTTTCCATGATTGAAATGTAATGAACGATGTATTTTTCATGGTCTCAAATTTGTCCTAATGGAACGGATGCGTATCCCTGTGAAGGACATTTTGGTGCTCCGTAGGGAAAATATGACAGAAGTGTTACCAAAAAACTGCATTAGTAACAAGTTCAAGATCGTTCAAGATGGTGTGACAGGTAATACGAACTGTCATCTTGGTACCAGCTTAAATGTGGTGAGAGACGAGGAATCTGCCCAAGAAATAGTTGGTATGGGTTTATTTATACGCTGTTTTCGAGAGTGGGATGCAAATACGAGTGGTATAGATAGATCTTTACTTGTACATACATGACAAAAGTATTAATATTATGTCTTGGGCGGAGAGTAAGGCCAAGGTTAATCCCACTCTCTCTCCTTTCAGATGTTGATTGATTTCGTTAACGTTGCTGTTGTGAGAGGTGATTTTTCTGCAACATAAAAGGGCAACCCATCAAAAAATCGGAATGCCACAAGATGTTTTGCAGAATCACACAGGGAAACCACCTAAAAGCAAACGGATTAACATTCCCAGAGTTCAGAGTAACGCTGAAAGCGAAATGCACAATTTTCAGAGTCAGAGCTTTCGCTCTGATATGGATGGTGACAGTTTGATACCACCATTATTTAGGTGATTATTTAAACATATCCTGTGTATGAAAGACATGAATTGGAAGCTAAGGGAGAATGAATTCAGTTCTTACCAGTGCATCTCAGGATATGCATTTTTTGGATCATTCTCTCTTATGGCTGAAGGCTGTTATATATGCAAGAAGCCACATTCCCTTATTATTAAATCTTTTATGCCATTTGCGTATAGTGGAGCAGCTGTCAATAGGTAATGAAATTTAATTCAGGATCAGTCTTTTGTTGCAGAACTCGGCTACATGAACTTTTCTTACAGATTGAGAAGGAGTTTGAAGTTTTATATATGGAAAATTTGAATTGTAAGTAACACATATGTTGTTCATTATCACGATGCTTCCTCAGTGTTCACCTTGTGACAACATTTCTATTGAAATTTTCAGTGCAGGAAAAGGTTGATACTCTGAATGAGAAGTTGGAACGCGAATCCTTCATCGGTGATAAGCAGAGTTATGACTTCACAGATTTTGATAATTCTTCATCAAAGGGTTTATCAAAACAAAAATGTGAGTAAATGTGTGAGCATGTCATCATGAAACCAAAATGTGCTAGTCATAGTATAACCAAACTTGGTAGATAATTTGAAATATTGTGGCCAAGTGGATAGCACTGGCTTTCATCATTCAGGTTTCCCATGGTGTTCTTCAGTCCCTGGTGCAGGATTTTGTCCAGTTGCAGCCGTTGGTCTCAGCCTTAATAGGGGGTTTAGTCCCCTGCTGTTGCAGCACTGACAGTCTGAATGAAAGTTGGGAGCTTATGGCACATGTGCTGAAAAAGGCAAGGCTACGCTACTGGATCCATATATGCATTATTACAGTGCATGGCCAGTATGAGTTTAATTGTATTGAAATTTTGGATTGTGCCAGCGGCGCCCTGGTTCAATCCTGGGTCTGGTCAAGTGGGATTTATGGTGGACAAAGTGGTGCTGGGGCAGGTTTTCTCCAAGTACTTCAGTTTCCCCTACCAATCTTCATTCCACCAAATTCTCCATCATAATCACCCAGGGCAGGTACAATAGGCCAATCAGTGGCTGCCGTGCCAAGTGGACCCAGTTGGACTGCATCCCCCACTAAGTGAATTAAAAAAGAAAGTTGTATTGTGCCATCAGAGAGTGGGAATTTTGAATGATATGGAGTGATGTCATGCGAGCAAGCAGTGCTGTGAAAATAAATTGTTTAGCTGCAACAGGTTCTGGGTCCCAAAAAGTCAAAACAGCACACAAACTGAAAGCCCAGACAAGCAAGATTGTATCCAGTTTCAAAGGTCCCACTGTAAGCTGCTGTCTAGTGCGGGAGTACTCCGGTCACAAGGATGGGATATGGGAGGTGGCTGTGGCCCGTCCAGGACAGCCCATCATCGGGACAGCTGCAGCAGGTTGGTTCAAGCTACTAAAGAATACCTTAGAAATTTATAAATACAAAATTGTTTTGAGTATCTTATTCAAACATCAGTCTGGATCACATTTTGATGACTGAAGTTGAGCCAGGATAGCTCAGGTAGTATAGAGACTGAGATGACTCATAGATTCTGATGGTTCTAATAATGGTGTATAACACTGAGAGTTACTGGAGTTTTGGACTTTGCCCATCGTCCAGTATTCCAAAAACTAGAGAACAAGACATTCTGGAAACTGAATATGTTTCCATCTGGTGATTGAGGTTAGCAGAGTAGGTGTTTCTCCCCACGAGGGCAGAAACAGATCCAGTTTCCAAAACGTTGTGATCTCTTGTTTTTAGAATACTGAATGATGGACAAAGTCCACAAACCCAGTAATTCTGAGTACTAAGATAACTGTCCAATGGGATGTGACACCATGTAGTCTGGTAGGTAGCACCACTTCAGAGGAACTTCCCAGCCTCCTCTTCTGTGGAAAGGACAGGGGCAGTAGGTGCCCCTTCAAATTATGAAGTCATTCCATAAGACAGTAAACATAATATTTACTGCTGTGACAATCTCATGTAATAGACAGGATAAAGATCGACCGATGACTAAGTGCCTTAAAGAACTGTGACTCATTGTCACCATTCATTGTTTACAGACCACACTGCATGCATATGGAGCATCGAGACTGGTCGACGTCTTCTCCAGTACCAGGGCCATTTGGGTTCTGTTAACTCTATCCGTTTCCACCCCAGCCGAGACTTAGTCCTGACCGCCAGCGGTGACCAAACAGCTCATGTGTGGCAAGCTGTAGTCACATGGGATCAGCCAGTAAGTGGCATCATCACAGTCCAGATACTTCCCTGAACAGCTGATTAGATCATGTTACAAAGCATTAAAAATATCATACATACATAACATACATACAAAAATATATTCATATGACAATGGCAAAATATCCAATTTCTTAAAAAGACTTCTACGTGAGTCTCTGGGTCCAACTCCCAAAATGATCCTTATTACTTTCTTTTGTAATTTAAAAACTAGAATTATTAGCCAAATTGCCCCAGAGGATTATTCCATACTTAATGATAGAATGAAAGTAAGAAAAATACATCATTTGCAGGGTTTTTAAATTCATAAAATAAGATAAACTCGTAATGACAAAAATAGCAGAACTGAGTTAACATGAGAATTCACTCTTGTTTATGAAAACTGAAGAGAACAAACTGATTTTATAATATAAAAATTGCCCCTGTGCTAAAACACCTTGCTATGAAAAGTCATAGAGAGATTGGAAATAAAGCAGCTACAAGACAAATGTTCTCATGCAAGCTCAATAAACTACAACTTAGAGCCTCAGAATCTGAGTAGCCCCCCAAATACCACCAAGAGAGAACATGCACAGGACAACACAATAGATGGTTGACTGCATCTCCTCAGATTGGAATAATGGAAACAACAAATTGGAGGGAGGGCATCACCCCTTGTTGTACAAGGAACGTATCTGTCCAGTTGTCCATGCTTAAACATGAGATTGTTTTCTTACCCATGCAACCACATGTACATTAAGATTTCTAGTAATTCATTGAGATTTCTCTCATATTTCCTAAAGTGTCTTTTGTTGCAAAAATGTGTGCCCACATAGTTAGCCAAATAGAAATCTTTAGTGTTTATTGAACATTCCTACTACAGTGCTTAAGGAAATATAGAGGCTTCACTTTTATCACATCTTGGGGCATCGTAAGAAATCCTGATCTGCTCTTGCATGTAATGCCAAAGCTTGGAACTTTGCCCTCATAACATGATGCTTAGGCACAGGGACAGCTTTACCTTTCCCTCACCGTATTCTGGTTTGCGTGTTCAAGAAAGGACACTCTTCAGAAGAAGACATAGATCTGTGTGAGAAGGACGAGTATGAAGATGAAGTGGCTGTGTCAGAGGGAACACCCAGCCTGCGTACTCCAGTCTGTGAGTTTACGGGACATACTGGTGTTGTGATGGCAGCTGATTGGTTACCAGGTGGTGATCAAGTCATCACGGCTTCGTGGGACCGAACAGCCAGCCTGTATGATGTGGAGACCAGAGAAATGCTACAGTCATTGAGTGGTGAGTGTGTCACTGAACACGGAGGCGTCATCTAAGAACCCCTAATTTTGACTTAGTATCACACATTGTGTACAATTTGAGGAAAGTCCAGCTTAGCCTTTGTCCTCTGCAATTATAACACAAGTGTGAAGCGCTGTCCCATAACTTATTTAAATTGAAATGAGAGTTACTGTATTTTAGTGCATCAGAAATGGCAGAGCATCTTAAATTCTCATATGTTAGGATTTTCTGGGGATCGGTGTGTTTGGTGATATGGCTATCATGTTCTGCAACTGTCTTTGCATATACAGTATGCACTTAAAATTTTGAGCAGGGCTGCTGACTGTCCTGACAGCAGTTTGTTTTGGTTTTTAAAAATCTCTCAAGTCAAATGTAGGGCTACAACCTTGAAATAGGTCACAGCTGCTTCCTTTGAAAATCTTGACTCCATGACTTTCTTCCCATTTTGTCTGTGGTGTCGGATGAGTAGGTATTTCAACCAAGATTGTGTTCAGAGCCTCTGTCGATACAGCAGGGCCCTCTGCCAAACTACACAGGGTCATATTCTAAAAGACCATAATCTTAATATTCCCGCGATAACCTCCGATCTCAAATATTTCCAGTGCATGTAGTGGCATGATGTTGAATGCATGTATGATTTGAAAAATGTGAAGTTTCACATGAAAGTGTAAGAGTTCTTTGTTTGGTGAACCCACAATTAATGTGCAGCCCAGATACCTCAAGTCTGTGGCTAAATCATGCTCGTACTGTCTTCACAGGTCACGATCAGGAACTAACCCACACTTCATCCCATCCTACACAGCGCCTTGTTGTCACATCATCGCGAGACTCTACATTTAGACTGTGGGATTTTCGTGAGCCAATCCATTCTGTCTCCGTATTCCAGGGCCACACAGAGTAAGTCCCATCATGAAATCGATTCTTCTTCCCCCATCCAATGCAATCTTTCCAGTGCTCTTAAACTTTAGCAACTGGTACAGCATTCTTCACAAACTGTACCTCCATCCACCATGCACAGAGGTATAGTTTGTGAAGAATACATTAATGTAACAGGATGCTTAAATAAAATATTATAGTATAGCATTATAAAATAATCAAAATGACAAGTCACTCACAGTGAGTTGGTAACGTACTTCCTCTGCCTTTGATGCTGCTTATCAGAACAGCATCCTGAGTGAATGCTCAGTATCAGAGGGGACTTGTGAGTCATCTGCTGTTCTTTCGTGAACTACAAACAGTAGCAAAGTAGTATATCATTTTCATGGCAGATATGATTCATATTGTGGTCAAAACACCATGCAGTGTAACAGGTGGGTACCACCATTTTGGATAATTATCAGGGTAGAATATACCCAGTATTATACGATATGAATATATTTATGTTGATTTAACAACTAGTTAATTTGTTGGGCATTGCCCAGGCACAATGCAAGATAAAAATTTCCACCTATTTTTGGAAACTTTAAAAGTTCAGTATCTCAGAACTATAACAGACATATAGAGTGAACAGTGTGTTTTTTCATCTGCCCTACTGAATACAAAAAAACCTCATTATGCTAGGATAAATGGTGCTCAAGCAGTAACCAAAAAAAAAAATTTTNTTTTTTTTTTTGGGGGGGGGGGAGGTTTCCAAAATTTGTAAGGATGCTTAAAACTAAGATATTTTGGGGTCTCATATCTGAAAGCTCCTTGGGAGGTCGCCTACCATCATGCTAGATTTTGTCAAAATAGGTGCAGTACTGTGGAATATATAAAAACTGGACACACACTCGCGCTCTCTCTCTCTCTGTGTGTGTGTTGCTTTCGCCTTGCTGCTTAACACTTGGCTTGGGTAACTGATTACTTCAGTTCGTTGACAGTTTCCAGCTGTGAGCGCTGACTGAAACAAAGTTTCAGTTTGTGAAATGTGTTTATTGTAGGACAGTGACATGTGCAGTGTTCACAAGGGAAGACAAAGTAGTATCTGGCTCAGATGACCGCAGTGTAAAGGTATGGGATCTCCGTAACATGCGGTCATCACTTGCCACAATCCGGTCCGACTCGGCAGCAAACCGCCTGGCTGTCTCCAACACTGGAGTAGTGGCTATTCCTCATGACAACAGACAAGTGCGACTGTTTGATCTGGGAGGCCAGCGGATTGCGAGACTGCCTAGAACAAGTCGACAGGTAAAAAACTTGTTATTCCTGTACAGGAGAACAAGCAGTAAATGTTGCACATTAAAATATCTAATTGCCGATAGTAAAATATTCTCACATTGATAGACATTAATTCTGGTATGCCAGCTTTACTAAGATATTGTGTGTTTCACCTTAGACCTGCTGTCCAAGCAGATGCTAGTATATTGCTGTAAAAAAGACAATAGAACTTCTTCTGCAGTCTTCTGAAATTAGCATTCATAGACTTCCTGTGACCTTCAGGAAAGTAAGCAGCTGTAATGGCATGAGAAACAGCCTACATTGTATACCATGGAATGTATGGAGAGATGATTATGAATCATTAACTGATCCGAACTGAGAAGGATCAAGCAACAGCATCATAGAGGTTACAAATTGTACTGTCATTCATATTGTGGTCTTCTGGGTCATGATATTGCATTGTAGTCTGGTACATGGGTATTGTATTCAAGATGGAATCAGGATGCCCCCTTGAAATGTTCGTACTCACCTACCTAATTGGACATGCTGTCGTAACTCAGATCACAACATGAACTTTCACCACTGGAAAAACCTCAAATATTGTAAACCCTGTCATTTGTCATAAAAATAGCCAGTGCCTCATGTTACAGTGACCACACCAAATGTTGATAAAGTACCTTTCTGTATTTTGTAGGGTCACAGGCGCATGGTAAGTTGCGTGGCATGGGGAGATGATTCAGCAAATCTCTCCTGCAACTTCTTCTCCTGCGGATTTGACCGTCTCATCCTTGGCTGGTCTGTCAACACATGCCTCAAGGACTCATAATAAGCACTGCCCTCTAGAATGTGTACATATGTATCAGTAGTGATATTTTATTGTAGTACTGTCACACTATGTATAATCTTGTTACCCTAATGTACCCTTTTTAGTTTAAGAGAGGAACACATTTCAAACTGTTTCAATGTATACATGTACTTAATAATTGTAATTTAAGTGCGATGTTAATAAATTATCAAAGTGCTGTTAGAGAGCCCTTAAAAATGTTACTATGGTTCACTTAATGAGCAGCCTATGAGCTGGACTACCAAGGAATTGGAGTTCACTTCCTGATAAGACCTAAGAGACCTCTCCACATTGTCCGGACCAGCTTCGTGGCCCACCCAGCCTTCTGTCTGATGGGTGCCAGGATAAAGGAGCTGTAATATGAGACTGATCACTGGCCTCCCTCCATCCATGGGCACCAGCAGGGGGAGCAAACCATACATCCCCCTTGGAACTGTAGGGAAAAGAATCACAATTACAGAACATATAAAAATATATCAAACATTAATAATAGAAATTAAACTTTTTAAAACTGTAATCTTCTATCCCAAATACTCTGTGATCTGCAAAAATGGTCTAAATGGCTAAACATAAGTTTGAAAGCAAATTTCTTGGCAGCAGGGTAAGACTATGGAGTTCTACCTCCACTCCCCTGCACATTTTCATGGTGATGAGGTGGAACTTGAACCTGCAGCCTCCGAAACATGAAGCAGGAGCACTAGCTCCTGTACTATAGCATTTGGTACACGAGACCCTGCTTGTCCATAATTTTCCAACCCATGCTACAGTTTATGCCAAGAGAAGCATAAAATGAATGCTATTAAGCATAACAGCAGTCCTAAAGCATGTTAAAGACATTTACTTATCTCACCAGATAACTACATGAAGCACATTCTTTCTTGAGAAGCCCACAGCTGCTTAGCTAGTCAAGAAATCTCATCATCTTGTGGCACCTGAATGTTCACAGGACCCCACCACTGGTCCCTGAGCCAGATTAATCCAATTCACAACCCTCCACCATATTTCATTAACATCCATTTTATGGTCCTCCCATCTATGCTGAGGTTGTCTGAGTGGTTTCTTTCCATTAGCTTTGCCTGATAAAACTCTTGTTTCCATTTCTTTTCTTACCCATGCATGCTACATACCTGACCCTGAAGCTGGATGTTATGGTTACTCCAGAACTTTGGTACATGTGTGGTGTGTTCAAAAAGTATCAAACCTTTTTTCCCACGTAAACCAATGAAGCGCAGGAGGCTCCCTTCGGTGGAGGGGACATTCATGCGGTCGTGAATTTTTCCCACCTGCAGAAAGTGTCAGTCACTGGCAGTCGGCCTATGAGTGAGGACATGTAGTGAGCACTCGTCGGATTCCAGTAAGGTGTAAAATGACAGAACAACATGAGCAGCGACACTGCATCAAATTTTGCCAAAAGCTTGGCGATACCCAAGAGGAAACCATTTGCAAGATTCAACAGACTTTTGGGGACGATGCCATGAGCAACTCACGGATAAAGGAGTGGTACCTCTTCAAAGATGGCCCCACGTCAGTGGACAGCGAACCGCATTCAGGCAGACCCTAAACAAGCTGAAATGAGAATGTCATTGAGCAAGTGCGGACTTTGGTCAAGGAGGACGGTCGTATCACAGTCCGAGAACTTCCGAACGAGATAGGGGATCAGTACATTCAATTTTGACCGAGGATTTGGGCATGAGGAGAGTGTCCGCGAAATTCGTACCGACGCTGCTAACACTGGAGCATAAGCAACGCCGTCTGGAAATCGCACAGGACATGCTGGACAATGCAGACAGTAACCCCAAGTTTCTGAACACCGTGATCACAGGCAACGAGTCGTGGGTTTATGGATAAGACCCAGAAACCAAGATGCAGTCATCACAGTGGAAACATCCGACATCCCCGAGGCCAAAAAAAAAGCATGGCAGATCCACAGCAATGTCAAGGTCATGTTGGCCGTTTTCTTCGACTCCCGTGGGGTTGTACATCATGAGTATGCACCACAAGGCCAAAAAATCACAAAGGAATACTACCAGGAGGTCCTTCGTCACCTTCATGATGCTGTGCGGCGCAAACGACTGGATCTGTGGGCAGCAAAAACTTGGCAGCTCCATCATGATAACGCACCCGCCCATTCTGTGCATCTGATTCAGACTTTTGTCACCAAACACAACATCCCTGTGGTTCGTCAGGCTCCCTACTGCCCCGACATGGCTCCATGTGATATTTGGCTATTTCCCAAGCTGAAAATGCTGCTGAAAGGAACCCAATTTGAGTCAAGAGAAGACATCATGCGGAATGCAACGGCCCGAAAGATGCGTTCCAGAAATGTTTCCAACAATGGTGGAAGCGCTGGGAGAAGTGTGTGCATTACCAAGGAGACTACTTTGAAGGGGATTAGGGTTTTGTACCTCCAAATCAATAAATGTATTTCTGCTGACCAAGGGTTCGATACTTTTTGAACACACCACATACAGTGAAACGACCATTTAAGGTTTCTTTAGTGAAATGTGGGTTTGAACACTAAACTGAGGTAAATGGAGGTTCCATTGTACATGCCAGACTACACAGCATCATATCCCAGAAGATTGTAATCTTCACATCATGGTCAGCTTACAACTCAGTTTTTGACAATGATAATTCCAGCATCACACTCAAAATAGATGCAGCTGTTTAAATCCTGTTATATTACAAAACATCATACATGTTCATTGCATGACAGGACTTGAGCAGCTGCTTAAATCCTCTTCTATTACAATATGTCTGTCATACATGTTCATTACACAACAGGACTTGAGCAGCTGCTTAAATCCTGTTATATTACAATATGTTATATATGTTCATTACACAACAGGACTTGAGCAGCTGCTTAAATCCTGTTGTATTACAATATGTCGTACATGTTCATTACATGACAGGACTTGAGCACTGGCTCAAGCTCAAACCGCACCTGTCTTAAGTGACGAAAGTTGCTACCCAGGACTCAGATATGATAAAAGGTGAATGGCAGTTTGTCAGACTCACAGGGACATCACTATAAGTACGAAGTTACAGTGTTGTGACCTCCCATGTGAATCTGTCATCTCCGGCAATTCTGACAATTTTCTTAGGGTCATTTTATGACACTAACTCAGACTATATAACATCGAATGGCAGGATGTATTGGAAAGGATACGGAAGGATGCAGTCAAGGTCCAATCAAAGTACTATCCAGGCATCTGCCTGGAGGAACTGAGGGCAGCCACAAAATACAACAGTCAGGGCAGCCTATGCCCCAGCTCAGGTTTGAATCTAGCACATCCCAAATATGATTTGAGCATTACCGCTACACCAACCAGTCTGGCCAGCACTGGGTAGCTGCAGCACTGCAATACGTGCATATACCCACCTACACTTTTAAAAAAACAGTAACATGCTAGTCAATGACACGATCTCTTCAACCTTTTCAAGCACAAAATTCACATTCTATGAGATTTGAGATTGTCACGACAGTGACGAAGAACAGTAAAGTTACCAACAGTTCAAAGAAGCCTGCTGCCTGCATTTTCCAGGACAGAGGTTTCTCCAAAATGTTGGTAACGTACCAGACTACATCATCACATCTCAGGACACACAGTAATCTTCACAGTCATTATCCACCTGAGCTACAGTTTATAAAACTAACTGGACCAGGCTACTATTTATAACCAGTAACAAATGAGAATTACTGCTTAAGCCCAAAACTGAGATGAAGCAGAGGGGCCCCAAAACAATAAACTGTGCAATATGGACACTTCAATTTATTGCCAGAGGTAAATAAACAACATCCATGAAATTACTGTCAGCAGTGGTTCCCAAACTGTGTACTACAAACCTGTATAATCTCAAAAGCACTGATGTAGCCTACAAGACGAAACTAAAATCCCCATGTACAGAAACTGCATAGCAAAAAATTTTCTTGTACTATAAACAGACATTGCTTAAGTGAAAGAAATCGACATAACAAACTCAGGCTATTTAATTGTCCCCTATGGGCTTGGCATTCACGGAGTCCAGCAGTCCTCTTACCAGCTTTTCAAGTCTCCTTCCTGTCACGTGATATGTCTGGATCTGCAATCACAACTTAAAGCCATTCTTTCTGTATCCATGGTGTTTTATTCTGTGCTCAGGAAGAATGTCATAATTTGTTATAAAAATTAATCCCTGCTGCTAGTCTGCTTTTGTCACATTATCTCTGTACCCAAATTTCACTGCTACAGCGAAAGCAACATGGGGGTGACTATTTTTGGTATAATTTTAGCCCTGAGCATCTCTGTACCGTATTAAACCCTGTGTATTTATCACATGTTCATTCATGGTTTATTTAACAATGTTCTCAGTAGCTTAGACTATACACTGTCAAATGTTAGGACAATTAATAAATGACATGTAGGAAGGGATCGGGAAGGAACCCGCCCTGGCCTATCTCAAGTTACTATCCCAGCAGACTAATGTAAGACAACAAGAAGAGTTGTTATAGTCAGTGTCCAAGTTGAGATTCTAACCTAATACCTCCAGAATATACATCAGAAATGTTACCACCCGAGCCAACTTGCTCAATAATATACATCAAAATGATAAACATTATCATTTTATTAGAGCAGTAGCGGAGTACAGACTATGGCTGGAGATGCTAGGGAGGGCTTAAGCAGAGATGGAAGGGTCAACAGTATCTCTGCTTTGTAATCAGGAGAGAAGTGCCCTAACCTTGAAAGGGAGAAGCTTTTTCTGCTTCTTTCTTCAGAACTGAAGTCATCAAAAGAGAGCACATGAGGGTTTATATATGAATACCTGGATATACTAAAGAAAAGCACAAGAAATCTCAGTCATGATAACCAACCTCCATGCTGAGAACAGAACCCAGAACCTTCTGAATGTAAAAATATCAAAGTTCAGTCAAATCATAATTTTGTATGGGTCCTTCACAGTGCTGTAAGCAGTTAACTATACAACGTCAAATGGTAGGATTACAGACGAACTGGAAGGGTTGCAGAAGGAAGCAGGCATTGCCTTACCAAGGCACTGTCCTGGCTGTTACCTGAATGAACTCTGGACAATCACAAACATCTCAGTCAGAATACCCGTGCCCCATATGAATTCTACAGCACTGCCAGTACACTAACCCTCGCAGAGAAATTGATAAATGGCTTCAGAGAACCATATGGATGGGCCCTCAGGAACCAATCCCAGGACTCCAAGGTTCTGCAGCACAAAGTGTGGGAAACACTGGCCTACAGGAGACTTGCAACGTACAGAAAGTGCAGTGGAGACACAAAGCTAGTCTCTCTTAAGCTACAACATGACCAACAAAACTTCAGGAAACATAAAAAAAAAGGCGAACCCAAAAAGAACTCAGCATATACATGTCATGTACAAAAATAAGTTCACTTTCCAATTTTATTTATTCTGAATCCAAATTCCAGTGAGTAATGATATATAAAAAAATACAGGACAGTAACCAGAACTCACATAGGATCAGTATGCAGGAATGAGTGCAGTTATTTTTGAGCCACCTTACAATAAGAATATTTACATCCAGTATTCATGGCACACTGGGGTGTTCCCCATACAACTTTCGCTCTCCCCTTTCGTGGAGTTCACCAGTCTTATTCCTAACAGAGTATTCTACATTATAAGAGAGCTATTTTCTTTGTCTGTGAACATACTCGTCTTCCATTTGTGCTACCAACACCCCATATTGTCCATCTGAAAAATCTCTGAGTATGTCTCATAAATATTTAAAATTTAAATACATATTACTAGTGTCATGCCTGCTGAAAATTCAACGAGGTCTCAATTGTTATGTAAACTTGCATACCTTTTTCTCCTTCCCTCCTTTCTCCTGCATTCTTTTGTAATCCATTTTATTTGCATATCCTATCATCTTTCCTCGTCCCTTCCTTCCTTCCTTCCTCTCCTTTACCAAAATATGGAAAATATTTTACTAAACAGATCATTTTTGCATTTTTTATGCACAAGAATGGCAAGAGAATGACATAACAGAATGACAATCTAACAATCACTGCCTTCCTTAGACTAATTAATAATTATACATTTATAACTCACAATTAATACACAGACTCAATTATTTATATTATTTAAAGTACTTCACTTAATCTAGCAACAGCAAACATGAAACAAGAGGCTCCAAAAACCAAAAATATTTCGATCTCTTGAATTTAAATTGTTCCTGAAACTTATGCGCTGTTTGTCACCAATTTTGTTTCTATGTGAGTAGCAAAGTGTGATACTTTCCTGATGCTAATCTCTATAGTCTTAACATCGTCAAACATAGTAAAATTAAAAGAGCCCTGCCCTTTCTAACACAGGAAAATCTCATTTTAAACTTAATTAACTAACTCCATGGAGCTGAGTACATATTGAGAAACTAACAGTTGCTCAGCTACTCTAGATCTTCCCCAAATCTTATGGAACCTGAAGGTTCATTAGTGTGTTGACGTTAAGTCCACCACTGATCTCTATCCTGCACCTAATTAATCAATCCATACTCTCCCATCCAATTTCTGTACAATCCATTTTAATACTAACCTCGCATCTATGCCTAGATCTTGCAAGTGGTTTCTTGCCTTCAGGTTATCCTACAAAAACTTTGCATGTGCTTATGTGCTTTCACATGTGTGTTACATGCCCAGCACATTGCATCCAACAGCTGGATCAGTTAACTTCCAAATCTGTCCAATTTCAAAACTAAACAAAATAAATATGTTTACTCCTTTTTATGAAATTTTTGTTCTAGTTTGTGTTTTGCATAAACAGTTCCTATTTACTAACAGGTAGTTTTATATAGTTCCAAAGTTTATATGTCAATACCAGATAAATTTCATATTTCAGTAGCAGTTATATTCTATATTTCAGTAAAAAGTAAAAAAGTAAAGTAAAGGCAACCTTGTAACAGGCTGTGGAGGCCCATAGGGTTGTAAGATGTTGAGGTTCCCACATTTTCTAGATGGCAGTAAGGTTGTCAGCCTTACACGCCCTCTGCCCTTTACCCCCAAGAACATTCAAAGAATATCCCTGGTACTCATTTCAGTTAGAGGCTGAGTCGACCCCAGGGCCATAGTGCAGCTGGGATTAGGTAAATTGAAAAAATCCCATGACCTCAGTAGCACATATACTTTGTGTGTCAGTACAATCAGATAAATACTGTAGCATGCTACATTGCTCCCTTCTTAAGGCTATTCATCTCGAATGGCCTACAGGTATACCACCATTTCTTCTTTTCCAAGGGCTGTGCTTGTGACGCCTGTGCTTGATTTACACAGTGTTTACTCTCCAACCGCTCCCGCTTCTCCCTCCTTAAGGCTGCTCATCCCAAGCCACTCCCTGATAAGGCACAAGTCAGTCCAGGTTTACTACCTTCATTCTTCTTCCCACATCATGACACACAGAAGGATGCAAACAATACAGATCCTTTCGCTGGGGTGGGCTAAACTACCCACAGTGGCTGGTGCTCCTATATCTCTGGCTCTTACTATGCATGCAGTCCCTTCTTTCATTCTGGAGGGGGCCAACCCCTCCATGATGTCCAGTCACCCACTTCCCTTGACCCAATGGAAATCCTGACTCGCTTCATGACCTCCAGTCTGACAGTCTTGCTTCCTAGATGTAGCTATTCTTTATTCCATTGCTGCCTTTCTGGCACATATGATGTGCCATTCCTACACCGCGCAAGGGACATGGCAGATCATCCCTCTGCAGGCAGCAGCCAACTTCTTCCAGGACCCACCATCACCCTGAGTCCATTTCTTCAGCTTTCAGCAGCACCCTACAGCTAGATGCCAGTCCCGATACTGCTTCTCCAGTGCTCTTCTTTAGGGGCCTCCTCATGTACCACTATGGCACCCATCTCCACTGAGGCTGGCTCCTTACTCTCAGGACAGGCCTCCGTTGCTTCTTGGCAGGCCATCATCTTTTTCATTTCTTCTAGCCAGTCATCCATTGAGTTCCATCCTTTTCTGATGGGTGTCCATCTTGGCTTTCATCCTGGCCAGCATTTCTGCTTGGGTGGTATCTATTTTCACATGATGGATATCAATCCAGGAGGCTAGAGAACCTATCTGTATTTCCATCATTTCTTGCATGGCTTTCAGGAATTCCATCGGATTCTTCCTGCAGTCTCCAATCCAACCATTTCTGACACCAGTTGTCACACAGTATACTATAGATGGAGTTTGGACTGATGAATAGATTTGCCTGATCAATTACAGGTTGTAACTACAAATAAATGTAACACTATCACTATTTCCACACTTTACAGTTCACTACAGCACATAGTCTAATGTTCTCAGTCTGTTAGTAGACATTTCCTGCTAACAGCTCCAATGCTGGCTATTCCTCTACCTCTGGCTCAAGTCCTCTCTTCACAGACTCCCATACAGAAGAGACTAAACTGACCCTGCCCCTTGCTTATAACATCTCTGCACAGACCACATATAAAACACAGCTCTTCTATTTCTGTGTTTGTGTCTGGTGCTGCGGGAACATGTTTACCAAGCATTGCCCACAAATGCCCCTAGTATATCTGTCCATGCAGTGGTCACTGCATAGCAACGGCTCCTACATGCTACAATATATTTTGGTACCATATAAAGATAAGTTTCTGTATAGTTTACTTTTATACATGATTACTAAATACAAATTGCTTAACTCTGAAGTTGGATGCAATGTGCTGCCTCTTGTAATGCACAAATCTGTGAAATGAAAATAATTTCAGACTGAATGGTTAATATTCCATCAGAAATTCTGTCCAAAGCATCAATGACCATCCTGGCATGTATAAGAATATTCTCTCTCCTAATTTATTTCCTTAATATGTTACAAAACTATAAGTAGCCTTATTTCCTTAAGTATACTTAACACATGATAGTTAATTATTTGCCATTTTGATCCATACAGTGACGTCTATCACATAAAAACAACTGTCAGTGTAAAAGGGACCCAAAGCACATGAATGCTCATAAGCCAAACCTAACCCAACATATAACCTGGAAAACTGAAATTAAAAACATCACCACAAAAAGACAGGAGACAGAATTTGGGATGGAAGCAGGAGAAAATGGAGAGAGAAGAGTATATAAACCAAAATTAAAAATTTGAGATAATTTCAAAGAAGAGCTTTTACATTATAAAACAGCATAAATTGAAAATACATTTGCGAAAGAAAATAATGAGTATTTAGAGGTGCTTATCCAAGTATTCCATACCAAGACAACAGAAAAATAGAAATCACCATAATCTCGTATACGATCTTCACAATAATAAGCAATCGTGAAAGTCTTGTGCATCAGAATATCAGGCTCAAAACATTACTTTTCCACTCCCCCATTACAGTTCTCTTTTTTGATAAAAATAAGAAACTCAGTGCCTCATTTACTTTTATGTATTACAATTACTGTATCAAAAGTTTGTCTAATTTCACAATGAGACAACATGAAGTGGTGACGGATGAATTTCTGCCCAGGAAACAAAACGAGGCCAGATGTGGAGCAATCTGTCTGTGTGTCAGAGCAAGGTGCAGCGGGACAGCCAACTTGGGGGCTTTCTCTGGGGCTCGTAGGATTTGAGCTGGTGTCCACCTTTTGGTGGATTGCTTGCTTCCTGAAAAAGAACCAACACATCCTTAAATACCGAGTAAACATACCAAACAGCAACCACATTTCTGTAACCCCCTTACCAGCAACACACTTCCTGCAGGTCTAGGTACCAACTGCAAAAGTTACAAGCCAGGATGAAAAATCACAAAAAGGTTTGAAAATGTTTACTGAGGGGGGGGATCTACTCTGTGACCGAACCCCAGCCTCCACAGTGAAAAGCTGGCAACTAGCAGCATGAGCTATGATTGTGTGCAAGTTTATTTTTCCCATGAAACCACTCCGATGTGCCATGTTCTATCATCACATTCACCTTACTATTCCAACACCTTTCCAGATTTGACTTTTAAGTTTCTAATGATGAATAAAGTGTATTTAGGCCCTTTTACCAGATACTTACAAGTAACAGGTACGATGAGGCATCCTCAGATTGTTATTTATAAATAAATAAGTAAATTACATAATGTGACATGATGGCTGAGAGCCAGAATAGTTTAACAAAAAGAGGCAGCCACTGCAAGGCAACGGTGCAGTAAACACATTTCCACAGTACAGACTGACTAACATTTCTTCAGCAAACCATAGTTTGGCCACATCTGCCTTGTGCATGCTTGTAGTTGGGTATGTGAAGCCTGAAGATGACACAGGCAAGTTCTTAATACCAGAAGGACAATAAGATATTCCTGTATTTGCACAAGACACTTCCATTTTGGTAGTATGCAACAGTATGCATGCCGGAAGTATTCTTTACAAAATGGCAAAATGAGAGAAACAGGTTAATGGAATATAGGAAACAAATGAGGCTCAAATGAGGATGAAGGATTTTAAGTCTCAATGAGGTCACTGGATTTTTTCAATTGACCTAATCCTTCCAGCCGCACTGTGGCCCTGGGGTTCACTCAGCCTCTAACAGAAATGAGTCATCATCATCAGTAATCTGTCAGACGACAGGTCCACAGTCTCTTCCAAAACAATTCCTCCACTTAATGCGATCTAGAGCTTTCTCCTTCAAATGACAGTATCCTCTTCTGTCCCCAAGGTCATCCAGCATCTTCCTACGTCTTCTTGTCACTTCTATCCGCCCCTCTATCTTTCCTTCAATAACTTCTTTTAGAAGGCAGTTTCTGCGTAAAATGAGTACCAGGAATTAATTAACCTTTAAGTGCCGAAGTTCCCCGTTTGTGCCAGTCATGAGTAAGGTCGTCATGGCCAAAGTGCCCCTTTTGTGCCAGTCAGGCATTTAAACTCCGCTAGAAGAAGCGCGCGTACACGCCACAAGTGGAAGCACATGCACAGTCCTAACTATTTATTTTTAAATGTAGTAATTACCAGAGAGACTTGAGTAAAACCCTAATAGAGGAATTAAATTGATACCTAAATGAACAACAGCAAATAAAAATATATGTATGAGTTATGCCAAAACTTATCCACGATCCAGTAATTTTATTGCAGATTCTGCAGATAGGTATGTTAAAAATATATTGTAAAATTCGATGTACATACCTTTTTTGTTGTTACCTGCTTGATGTATATATAGGCTGAAATTATACTACAGTATTCGATTTCACTACGAACGCACAGAAAACAGATCGCACTCTGTATCTTAGCCATGATGCAGCTGTCTGCTCATTCAAATAGAAGGGGCGATAAACTTTTGCAGCTCTAATGGAAGGTCTTAGCACTGAAGAAGGGACCCCTCTAGCTTTCTCTTGAATAGCAATGCTTTCATTCTTCTGTCCTTCAGTCAAAAGATTCGAAAATCCGAAGAGTGTAAGCAGGGCTAGCAGAAGACCAAATGATTTTATTGCTTCCATGTGTTAAAGTTAAGGCAGAACCGGTAGATATACTGATTATACAAGTGTACATGCCAACATCAGAGTATGAAGACGATGAAGTGGAAAAAGTGTATGACACAATTGAAGAAATTCTTCAGGAAGATGGAAGAGGAGACACAAACAGCATCATATTGGGAGACTGGAACAGCATTGTTGGAGATGAACCATATCAGAATATTGTTGGATCACATGGACTAGGAAGACGGAATCACAGAGGTCAAATGCTTATTGACTTTTGTGAACGAAATGGATTGATTGTTACCAACACTTGGTTCAAGAAGCCAAAGAGAAGAATTTACACATGGAAGGCACCTGGGGATTGGAAGAGGCATCAGCTGGACTACATCCTTGTGAAACATCGATTCAGAAACAGTGTGAAGGATGTGAAGACGCTTCCTGGGGCAGACATTGACTCTGACCACAACTTGCTGGTTGCCAAGTTCCGAACCAGGTTGAAGAAAATTATAGGATTTCGAAAGCGCAGACCCAGATGGGATTTGGAGAAGTTATATGCTCAAAGACAAAGCGTGCAAGAGACTCTAGAAGAGAAACTCGGTGCAATTGAAGGTGAAAGCGGAAATGCTGAAGCGCAGTGGAACGATATAAAAGAATGCATGTTAGATACTATCAGTGATTTGGTAGGTAAAGTTGAGAAGATAGCAAGAAAACCATGGGTTACACAGGAGATGATGAGTAAAATGGAGGAGCGAAGGAAATGGAAGAATGTCAACAATGAAGAAGGCAGGAGGAAATACAGGAGACTGAGGAATGAATTGAAAAGAGCCACGGACAGGGCCAAAAAGGAATATCTTGAGAAGATATGTAATGAGATTATGGAATTTCAAAGAACAGGCCGTTATGATTTGATGTACATGAAGACAAAAGAACTAGGATGGAAAGAGAATCATGGGATTCAAAATGTTGGCATCGAAGACTCCCAGGGGAATAGAATAGTAGATCAGAGGCAAGTGCTGAAAATTTGGGAAAATTATATTTCAGAACTATATGATCGACCTAATCGGCCAGAAACCTTAGAAGTTGAACCGGAAGAAGAAGTAGATACAGACGAGAAAGGACCATATATTTTACAAAGTGAGGTGGAAAAAGCTATCAAGGAAATGAGGAAGGGAAAGGCTACAGGAGATGATGATGTACCTGGAGATGTGCTCAAGTTACTGGGAGAAGGTGGTTTGAAAACACTGACAAAACTAATGAACACCATATATGAAAGTGGAGAGTGGCCCAAGGACTTTACAGAAGTTACAATGATTGCCTTAAAGAAAAAGACAAAAGCTACAAAATGCAGCGACCATCGCACAATAAGTCTTATTGCACATACAGCAAAGATAATAGCAAAGATACTTAAAAGAAGAATTGAAAGGAAAATAGAGGATGTACTTGGAGAAGATCAGTTTGGATTTAGAAGAGGAAAAGGAACCAGGGATGCAATTGGGATGATGAGAATTATAGCGGAACGAACTTTGGAGATAGATGAAGAACTGTGTGTTTGCTTCATAGACTGGCAGAAGGCATTTGACCGGGTAAACTGGACCAAATTAATGCAGATCCTGAAAGAAACAGGTATCGATTGGCATGAAAGAAGATTGATTAGCAAATTGTACATGGATCAGAAAGTTAGAGTACGACTGGACAGGGGGGAGACAGGAAGTGTGCAGATTGGAAGAGGAGTTCGACAAGGATGCTGTTTATCACCAATTCTGTTCAACTTGTACAGCGAATGCCTTACCAAGGAAGCTCTGGATGGGCTCGGTGACTTCAAAGTAGGAGGGCAAATTATTCAAACTGTGAAATATGCAGATGACCTTGTGTTAATGGCTAAGGAAGAAACTGTGCTACAGGGCATGATTGATAGACTAATTGAAATTGGAAGGTGCTATGGCATGGAAATGAATGTGGAGAAAACAAAAGTAATGAAAATTTCGAGACAACCAACCCCAGTCACAATAAAGATAGACCAAAAACAAGTGGAGAATGTGAAATGTTTTAAATATTTGGGTAGCTTGTTAACAGATGATGGAAGGTGTACTTGTGAAATTAAATCCAGGATTGCCATGGCAAAAGCTGCATTTAGCAAGAAGAAGAATCTTTTTACCAGCAAATTGGACTTAAATTTGAGGAAGAAACTAGTGAAATGCTACATTTGGAGCATAGCTCTGTATGGGGCTGAAACATGGACACTTAGGGCAGTAGATCAGAAACATCTGGAAAGTTTCGAAATGTGGTGTTGGAGAAGAATGGAGAAGATCAGTTGGACCGATTATGTGAGAAATGAAGAAGTGTTAATTAGAGTCAGTGAGCAGAGGAATATCCTACATGAAATAAGAAAACGGAAGGCTAATTGGATTGGTCATGTTTTACGCAGAAACTGCCTTCTAAAAGAAGCTATCGAAGGAAAGATAGATGGGCGGATAGAAGTGACAAGAAGACGAGGAAGAAGACGTAAGAAGATGCTGGATGACCTTGGGGACAGAAGAGGATACTGTCATTTGAAGGAGAAAGCTCTAGATCGCATTAAGTGGAGGAATTGTTTTGAAAGAGACTGTGGACCTGTCGTCTTGACAGATTACTGATGATGATGATGATGTGTTTTATGACACCAGGGACTGCTAAAATTCGTCAAGTGTTACAAACAGAAATGAATTTATAATGCAGAACAACTCTGTGAAGAACTGGGAAACCATTTTTGCAGTACGCATCAAAATTAAAACAAAAGATTGAAAATAGAGTATAACACTTTGAATTAAAAATTTCAAATCTTCCGTTATAATATGCAACACTATGTTCTTTGCTGATATAAACAAAGTTAATACCATCCATTTATCATAAAAATTGAGCAAGATACAGCATTTTTAAACACAACGCTTAAAATTGATTAAGAGCCTAATAGGAACGGACATTAAACGCAGAGTAGCAACGGGCATTTAAACGCGCACCAGCAGCGGGCATTTAAATAAACTCCGGCCAGCTCAAGCTTACCATTATTTCCAAGTCCGGCGTTTAAAGGTTAAATAATTTTCCTGGGGAGTAAAGCACGGCCGGCGCGTAAGGCTGACAATCTTACCGCCATCTTTGAGCCGATTGTCTAGAAAATGTGGGCCCTGAATGTCTCACAACCTTACGGGCCTTCACAGCCTGGTACAGGGATAGCCTTACTTTTACTTTTTACTTCTCATTAATTCCAGATACACTGGTGACAGTAAAGGTAAACCTATCTCTGTAACAGGCCATGGAGGCCCACAGGGTTGTGAGACGTTGAGGCTCCCACATTTTCTAGACAATCAGCTCACAGATGGCAGCAAGGTTGTTAGCCTTAAGTGCCGGCCACCCATTCTTTACCCCCAGGAAGATTCCTGGTACTCATTTCTGTTAGAAGCTGAGTCGACCCCATGGCCATAGTGCGGCTGGAAGGATTAGGTAGAGTGAAAAAATCCACATCATCGGGATTTGATTCTGCTACCTTCTGGCTTGTAGCATAGTGCCTCAACCAACTATGCTACCGCATGCCCCCCACTAGTGACAGTGCCACTAAGAAAACTAGTACTGTTCTCTCCTTTTCATGTCACATTTAGGTAGTGGTACCTTTCTCTCTAGACAAATGAGGACAACAAAGATCATACTGTTTACAAACAAGATCACTGCCCATGTACGCAGACCTAGCCATTCTCAACAGAGTGCAAAGTGGATTTCGTCAAGTCCACTGACTGGGATAAAGACTGTACAGTGTGTATGGGTTACAGGAACACGTTAGTTAAAAGACATCACACCATAATGCTGATGCAACCACTGCCCAATCCTTCTCACGTTCAACTCACAGGCCAGGTCTAAAGCCACGGCCCATATGTAAACTCTGCATCAGTACACATCCACGTACATGCTCCACACGGTATAAACACATCACCACACAAACATCACACACAACTGTGAAATAGTAATATTATTCTTCATAAATATGATGTGGCACCACACAGTTTGGTAGAAGTCCACTGACGTTTTTGAGGTACAAAATGCATCCATTTTCAGGGCTGAAATATATGCTGCGCAAGCTCTGCATGTTCGTCCAAAATGTCAGTGGACTTCCATCACACTACATAACATATAGACACCGCTGTGAGATCCTCAAGCCCCACACAGTGACACAGAATTCTTGCCACTCAACAAAAGTCAAGCCATAGAACATGCTGCATGCTGCCTCATGTATTTCATACATGGGCCCACACAGAGGAGGAAATGGTACAGAGACTCCTAGTTATTCATCTTATCAAGAAATTCCTTGTTCCTACAGAACACACCAATCAGATCCTAACTTACATCAATTCATATCCCCACAGTCCACTTCACAAAGATTCATTTTAATATTATATCCCAAACTTCACCTATGTCTCTGAAACGCTCTTCTATAATCAGAATTCCAATTAAGCCACACACATTTCATATTTCCCGGCTACATGCTACACATCTTGCCTGCCTCTTCCTTCTTAACCTCACCCCAAACAAGGCAAAATAAAGGGTATAAATTAGGATGTTACGGACTATGTAATCTCCATTTTCTTGTTACTACTTTATCTACGGTTTATTTTACAAGACTGTCAGTATCTCAGACACTATAACACTGAATGATACCATAAGTAAATAATGAATCAGTAAGCATGAGGAAGGAAGCAGCCATACTCAAACTGAGGTACCATCCTGGCATTTGCCTGGAGAGACTGAGCAAAATCACAAGAAACATCAGTTACAACAGATAGTGCCCCAGCCAAAATGCAAATGCATTAGTGCTTGGATCAACTTGCTTGCTACTTTTCTGTGTTAGATCCAAATATTCTCTTCCGTATTTTGCTGTTAAAAACACTCAAGATCTGGGCCCTTTGCTCAATTAGATGAAGCAAATTAAAGACAACTGTACATAATGCACTTAGCACCAGGAGTTTGATATGGAATTGTGAGCAATTATCACCTTTATGAGAACAGATTCACAGTGTCTGTATGTTGAAAATAAAATTGCAACCAACTTCAAAACTCAAAGGCAGTGAACTGTCTCTCAAATCAGCAGCCACAAAACCATATGCAAGAGCATAATGAAATTCTCTGCTCATCAAATAAGTGAGAGACACAAACTCAACATCATATGAGACGAGATATTCGGAGAGAAGTGAATATTAAGGTTCCGGTCTTGTGGTCTGTGATGTCATGCAGTTTCGTACATAGGTACCAATTTGTCAGGGGAACCTATCTACTAAACTATACATTACATGCTAGAAGACTGTTAACGTTACATATTAGGTAGGTTCCCATGAAATATCTCACTGAATTCACAGATATGTACAATGAATATTACTTCATCTATAAAAGCAAAACAGTGAGAAACAAATTACTCAAATAACAGATAAGTCAGCAGACAGACAGGTATCATCTTATGTAAAACACAATGTCCCTGTACTTTATCAAGCATAACACCAAGAAAATGTAGGTGGGAGTGGAGCTATGGTTTGGCACTGGATCAAGATGAGAGGTCAGCTTCACTCTGACTGCTTTGCCCTCAGTGAAAGAAATCTTGACACCCAACAGATAGAAGACTGAGTGGGCCCCAAGAGCTTGTTTCGATATGAGAGGATTTCTGGGACAGGGGTTAGATGAATAAGTTTCAAAGGAACTTTGAAACTCATCTTGTCCCTCATGCAGAATTAGTAAATAAAATGTTAACAGAACCTGAAAAAGTCAAAACAAATGTTACAATGCATCATGCATGAAGAGTGAGAAAGAAGGAAGATTTACCTTCTGCCACGATATGACCAGTTGAGTTGCAAAATGAGAATAGAAAGAGAAATAAATTAGATACATATTGCAACAAGAATATTGACATGTGATGCTTATACTTAATTAGGAGCTTCCTCACTCTGTAACCAGCTGAATGCTGGGTAAGGGGTGAAGCTCCCAACTTAGAGAATAGGGTTGTGATAATGTGCTCCCTGGTCAGGGCTATTGCACACATCAGGGACCAGTGACTGATGCAATGGTGGAATGATGATTAGCAGTGCAAAACTGAAGGAATCTGAGAAAAACCTGCTTCAGTGTGACTTTATCCATCATAAAATTCACATTTGTCACCTGGAATTGAACCTAAGGCTCGAGTGTGACAAGTCAGTGTACAACTGCCTTAGCTATGGCATGGCCCTACAATTTATTAAAACAGTAGCTACGATGTCATCCGTGTCAAAACTCAGACTTCAATTCCTTCCTTCTGAGTCCAGCCCAGACAGGGGAGAAGCCCCCAGTTATGGATAACTTCTGACTGTGACAATGTAGAGACCAATGAGGCCTATCCTGTAACTCAGGGGCTGTGACAGACAAGCATGAAGAACCTGTCAAATGATAACTGAGCAGTGAAATAAATACGTGCCACAGTGCCATTTTCTCCACCAAAAATTCTACACTACCTAATCTGGGAATGAACCCAGGATTCCATAGCATGAAGCAGGCATCTGAGCCATGGCATGACACCTGTCTCAGTTATGGCAGAGACCTAACCATCCACGTTGTGACAAGATGTTTAACTGCCGGAGCTAGGGTACAGCATTTAACAATCAGCACTATGACACAGCCATGTCATGCCACACAATTATACAGATTAATGCTAAAAAAAAAAAGACTATAATAATGAAATGCTGATTATTTCTTATGTTTGAAACACAGATCTTATACCTTAAGAGACATCACATTAAAAATATATATCCTAATTACCAAAATAACAAGCCTCCTCGATAATTCTACATTTAAACAGGAATGGAATTACATGACGGTGGTGACTACTAACTGAGATCCCGTTGGGAACTCACATTTGAGTCACTCATCTTGTTACTGGCCTAACAAAGTAGTGGACCACCTGATCCTGCCCACTCTTATCCCTGCAGCTGGTTCTCAGCCAATATGGACTGGGAGTCATTCATTACATTGACAGGCATAAAATCAAGTAATTTACATCATTCACCAAACCAAACAGTGGAGAAAGATATGATCTGCAAAAGAGTGGAGTCTTATTCTGTATTGGCATGCTCATGTGAAAAGGCTTGAAGTGCTCTAATGACAGAAGTGGTGCTTCTAAAATCCATGGGATTTATATGCACTCAATGAAACTATACCAAATTTCTGAAAAAAGGCTCGATATGCAAGCACTGAAATGTAGTTTCGTAAGCCCTGTTAAATTCATCTACAATTTTTCTGATCTGGAGTATAACAGGAGTGAACCAATCAAAATTACTGAACTGAACTTATCTTCCTCGCACCATGCCACATGCAAATGTCGGAAAAAAGGCAACTTACCAATTTCTTCTCCATTTTTGTCTTGATATCTCTGGCTAGCGTAAAGAATGCTTCTTCTACATGGATTGAGGCTTTAGCACTTGTCTCCATGAACTTTATTCCATATTCTATTGCTAACTGTTCCCCTCGTTCTTTCGTGACCTGCAACACAGAATGTGGTAAGGACGACAGACCGGTGGCTTCCCATCAACTGAACTGCACTGAAAGCACAAGATAAAATGGTTATACCATCATAACTTGGTTCCCTGAGGTACATGGTGGCATTTCCTCCATACCAGACATAGCATCAGGATAGGAACTACAGGCTGGATGACAGAGGAAATGGGGTTTGATTCCCACTGGAGACAAAAGAGTATTCTCTTCTTCACAGATTCCAGTCTGGTTCTGAGGGTGCTGGGAATTCTTTCCCGAGGGGTAAGGCAGTCGGGACATCATGCTCCATCAGTTTCATGAAGTCCAAACCTTACATACCTCAACTCACATCTTCATGTGGTTCAATTATTTAAGCAAAAGTAAAACTTCATCTTTCTCTTTATCATATAAAGTTGTGGTTGTGCCTTAATGCAGTGAATTGTTTAAGAGATGCACTCATAGCATAAGGTTTGCAAAAGAACTATGTGACAAGCAGAAGTCAAAATCATTACCATGATTACAATTATCAAAACTTACTCAATAAATTGTAAGACCTGATCACTTGTTATTTCATTGCCGAAGATTAAAACGAGTCTTTCCTTCTACATCGGTATGTTTGCACATCGATCCTTTGGAAATATGCTATAAGTGTGCTAATTCAGGCAGTTCACTCTGTGGGATATTAACATGGGGCTTCCAATTTAATTTACACTTCTCTACAATGGGTAAAATCATTACTTAGCGTTTTTGGGCAGCATAAAAGAATTACAGACTGAAAAATAATAATTTGTCCCTACATAGAATTTCCAGAGGAGAGTTAACTGATGTAGCTGTACAGTGATCCAACAGTTATGTAAGAGTCAAAACATTCTGAAACAAGGAACAAACCTGTCTCTTTTCATTCAGTTCACATTTGTTTCCTAGAAGCATCTTTTCCACATCAGCAGAAGCATTTTCCTCAATGTTACGAATCCAGTTCTTAATATTCTCGAAACTCTTCTCATTGGTAATATCATATACCAACATGATACCCATAGCGCCTCGGTAATACGCAGTGGTGATTGTGCGAAACCTTTCCTGCCCAGCTGTGTCCCTATGGAAGCAAAATTCACCTGCATTATAAAATAAAATCAAACTCCCTCTGCAAGTTCCACAGACAAGCAAGCCTCTTGCACTGTCAACTTCCTTCTCATTCTTCCCTATATACATACACATACACACACATGCTCAGCTGTTATAGAGAGAGGCTACATGCTGGATGGCTGGGGTTTGATTCCCAGCTCAGGCAACAGATTTTCCTCTCCACCACAGCATCCAGACCAGCTCTGAGGCACACCCAGTCTCCTATCCAACGGATAGCAGGGGCTATTCCCCAGGAATATGGTGGCTAGGGTGTCAAGGTGACCACTCACCCCTATCTAGTGCCAAGGTCAAGAATGGCAGAGCTATGCCTCCACTCCTTCATACATCTTCATGGCATGAGGGACAACTTTACCTTTTTTGCCATTTCCTTCAAAGTCTGTCCAATTCATCTACTATCCAACAATATATAGTCTAACTACTCACAGCATCTTAAAATAATCCTCACAAAAAAGAAAAATGTATGTATATATACAATTGGACTAGAATGGGAAGCACCTATCAGATTTCCATTACTTCATTTTCATGGAACCCAAATGCAGAACAGAAGTGCCCTCAGTGTTACAAGAGAACCAAAAGTTTGCACCAACAAACATCAGTTTTTTTCAGATTACAGTGTTGACCTTTACTGAAAACCTGTGCCTCTAGGCTGCCAGGACTGTCCAGCTTAAAACTGCATCTTTGGTCCCTACCCACACTTCACATTTAAAGAATTTGTGTTCTCAGTATACAGAAACAAATATCTTCCCTGTAACAATCAGATTTATGAAGCACAAGTATACAAACAGGAATTAAATGAACAACATTCAAAAACATTTACTTAAATTGAACGTTACCAGATTGACAATGCCTGAAGATTTGCTGGACTGCTGTGATATTGCACGTGACCATGGAGTCACACTAATTCCATACTATTTATTTATTTATTAGTTTTCATGTGAAATCAGTTGAGAAATTATGTTAAGAATTTAGTATGCACTTCTAACAGGACATTTCAACAGCATTAGCCACATCTTTAAAAAGAAAAAGGACATGATACATGAGCATTCCTCTTTCATTGCCTTTCATTGCCTTTCACAAGCACATAAATAAATAAACAAACAAAAAAGTACAAGAGTTGTAATATCACTTACCATATCTGAAGTTTTATTTTCTTTCCATCCAATTCTATGGTTCTAATTTTGAAATCTATACCTGAAATACAAAATTGAAAAGTTAACCTTTAGTACAAGAGTTGTAATATCACTTACCATATCTGAAGTTTTATTTTCTTTCCATCCAATTCTATGGTTCTAATTTTGAAATCTATACCTGAAATACAAAATTGGAAAGTTAACCTTTACATATAGAATACTGAAGAATTCAGTTCCCACAGCACAGAAAACACTATGTCTAGCTTACAAGAATCAATTAGTTAATACTGTTTAAGGAAATAATCGCTATTCATTGTGAGAATTATATTAAAGAAATAAATGCACTGTGTGTGGGGAAACTTCACAGTTTTTAACCACTGAAGTCCAGCTGTCACAGTCAGTAAAGTGTCTAGGCTATGTACGGCAAGACTCAGGAATCAGGATTCAATTCCTGGTAGGGGCAACAGACTTTTCGCTTTTCCACAGCATCCAGCCTGGCTCTGGAATATATCCAATGAATACCACAGCTTCCATCCTGGGGGGTAAAGTGGATGGGCATGAAGGTGGTAATTCACCTGCACCTAATGCTGCAGTTAAGAATGTGTTAAGGTACATACCTCCACTTCCCAATACGTTTTCATGGTACTTAATGAGGTGCAGGGGCAACTTTACTGACCATTACAGCATTGTGAAACAAGAATATTTTTTTTGGCAGTTCATTTAATAATGCCTTCAGCCTATACAGCATAAACTGGTTGGGTGACTGAACAACTGAAAAAGATTTAGAAGGAAGCCTTTTAGACTAATTAAGGCACTTACTGCATGGACTGAAAGAGCCCACAAGATCCTGTGTTGGGATGGCTGATGTACTGGTCAAAATTCAAATTGAACACCACCCAACTATAAGAGTTACAGGTAAACCAATATGTTCCGTGATAAGAATATTATAAAATTAGGGTACTAATGTACATAATAAGAAATGCACCCTAAATCAGACCCAGAACTTGGTGAAGTTCTAAGCAATTAATATCCTGTGTATTATGACCACACCCTTTGAGAGGAAACAGCCGTCTGTATATATAAACCATAGCTCTTCAATATATTGTTATAATTAAAAAGCACGGGGCACATACTGCCCAGAAAGGAGATAAATCCTCAAAGTCATAATCATCTGATGTGATAAGCCTGGAATATTTAATCTATTACTAAGAAGAATTCACGTTAAGTCCCCGAAGAAAAATACTGGTAATTATTCTGAAGGCCTGTAACTAAGAAAGACATAGTTGTGGTTTGTTTAAATGAAGACTTTGAAAGCCTGTAACTGATAAATTGTTGTTCTGGTTTCTTTAAATGAAAGATATCACTGTATTCCGACTGGAGATCTTCGCTGCATTATATTTCGAGGAAACTACATACTCTACGAATACAATGACATGGCTTTTCAATACACTGCCATTCGCACTAAGAAAAAATTATAAAGGCAGACAATCGATTTTAATACAAATATGAAAGTATAAAATAAGGTCTGTCAAGAGTGCTGTCATATCCTAACAGGAGGCATTCCTTGCAAGTGTCAATCTCACAATTACTAATTTCCTTCAGTAACGAAATATGTTATATTGTACACTCTAAAATGGAACGCAAAAATTACCCCAACAAATGGGTAAAACTAATATGATATTAAATATCATGGACCTTGAAAATTCTCACCCAACGGACTTCACTTAAAAATAGTGCCTTACCTATAGTGGATATAAACGTTGTATTGAACGCATCTTCTGAAAACCTAAACAAAACACATGTTTTACCAACTCCTGAATCACCAATTAAGAGTAATTTAAATAAATAATCATACGTCTTAGCCATTGTCCCCCTACAGTAATAACCCTTTCATAGGGCCGAATCACGGCCCTCTTGATTTACACAGGCAGAATTACTTTCACTATAATCAAACTACATATTTGTAATGCATCGTAGATCTGACCGGATAGGAGTGCCCTCGGATAGTCTGTGAATCACTCTGCATCTTCTTTGGTAATTCGATACGAGATAGCGCCACAGTCGTTGGTCGTTATGTCACAGAAGATGAGGAAATTCGATGCAAGTGTTGAAAAGTTTGCTTTAAAAAAGAAAAAGTACATCTGATTAAACATACTTAGATTTACGTGTTCCTAATGATTGTATTAAAATTATTTTATATTTTACGCGCGGGAGTAGTAGTACTTTGCCAAGATGCAGTATTCTTGAAAACTCTGCTGTCTATCGCTAAGGGCGAAGGCAAACCAAGGAAACTGGCAACCGCAACGCAACCGCGATTTCCGAGAACTGTTATCAGCTTACAGTTGAACGTATGTTAGCGAATGGAGCAGCGCAAATTGGTAAAGTTGGATGTAACAAGGCACACCTGTAATCTCTCAAACTGTTTAATTGATGGTGTGCATTTGGGAATGAAACAGCTTTCATCTGGACTGAGATGAATTAATGCACATTATTTATTCTCTCTGCCTACCCAGCAGATATCAGGCAAACCTGCTTTCATGGACTGCAGGTGGTTTTCCAGTAGCCAAGAAATACACATTAATGGAACCAACCTCACAGAATAATGCAGAATTCAAATTTAAAAATTATCACATATATGTAGGTAAGTCAATAATTAAGTTACAAATGGATGTAGAACTTATTTGAAAAATGCTATTTCTGAACATAGTCTTCCTGTACATTGAGGCATTTGCCCCATCATTTCACAAGCCCCTGAAAACCAGCAGCATAAAATTCTTTGGGCTGCTGTTGGAACCAGGCGGTGACTTCCCTTTACAGGGAACATTTACATCTTCAGGAAACTTTGTAAGGCCATTCAACGGAAGCAACCAGGAATCCTCACCAAAGGCATTGCTCTTGCATGATAACGCACGTCCCCATACTGCCAACAAGACAAATGAGATGCTGCAAAATTTCAAGTGGGAAGTCCTCGAGCATCCTCCGTATAGCCCTGGCCTTGCTCAAGGTGACTTCCATTTGTTGATCATCTTTTGGCTGAACATTTTCCCGACAATGAAGCTGTAGAAAGGGAAGTTACTGCCTGGTTCTGACAGCAGCCCAAAGAATTTTATGCTTCTGGTTTTCAAGGGCTTGTGAAACGATGGGACAAGTGCCTCAATGTACAGGGAGATTATTTTGAGAAATAAAAGCATTTTTTAAAGCAGTACTCTTAATTTGTTTTAAGTTCTATATCCCTTTTTAACTTACTTATTGACTTGCCCTCATATATTTCTTCAAAATTGTAACATACCAAGTAGAATTTTCATGGCAACCGACAGTACAATGATCCATACCTTCAGAGAAGTCAATATGAATGAGTGTCGGCAGGGAGGGTCTTAAGACAGGCATCAGGCTTTCTCCATCAGATTTTTGGAATCAAAATTGAAAAGTAGAAAATAGGCCCAATATTAATATCCAAAATTAAAATTATTTTTAAATGGGATGTCTTCCCAAGTTTCAGTATTTAGACCCACTATTGTAGGGCAATTCATAACAATTTTGTTAGATGCCTTTAGCACAAGAAAAATATCCTTGTGGTGTCAATGCTTATATACCATCCAAACTTACAACCATAACATAGCAGCAGCAGTTGTAAGATAATCAACTGCACACTCTTTGAAATGGCATGCAGCAACACAAGACTAAAGGTGCTCCGAGCCACTGCACCACAACCAACATGAGCCCATATTACAATACTAAGATATGTACTTCTCAACATGAGACTACATGACCAAGGATGTGGATACAGAATAATTACACAGCACAGCAAATCTTCACTTCTTTCAGTAACATGTAGGACTGTTGAAGGGTTAAAATAGATATGCAAAATAGATCACTGAAGGTCATGGTGAAAGGGCCAATGGTTAGGCCCACCCCTTATGTATGGCATCATCAGTGAAGTCCCAAAAAGTTCAAAGAGTACAATCAGCTGGAAAGATCACATCACTTTCTGAGACATCAGCAGTATTAACACGGTCAAAACGGCAAGTCTTTCGATCTTAAATAAAACAGAATTCCTGCAAATATGCAAGGAGAAAATGACAAGCGGCACTTCAGCTTCCTTCAGTAATGGCAATACATGTCATAAATAAACTCTTCTCCCAGCAGTGAAGTAGCTGTACTGTCATTGCCTTCCTTTCCAATCTCGATACCTGGCATCACTGTCTTGTCTTCATTACTCACTTTCATTCTTCCCTTGCAGCAAACACAGACCATGAAGTAACAAGATATAACATGTTCTCTCATATTTTCAAGGGGGCATGCAATAGCATAGTTGATTGCAGCACTATGCTACAAGCCAGAAGGTTGCAGGTTCTATTCCCGATGAGGTCATTGGATTTTTCAATTGACCTAATCTTTCCAGCCATACTATGGCCCCAGGGTCGACTCAGCCTCTAACGGAAATGAGTACCAGGATTCTTCCTGGGAGGTAAAGGCCAGCCATTATGTAAGGATGACAACCTTACTGCCATCTGTGAGCTGAATGTCTAGGAAATGTGGCAGTTTGGACATCTCACAACCTTATGGGTCTCCACAGCCTGTTACAGCCTGTTACCTTACCTAATAGTTTCATATTAACCATTTCCCCAAAGGGCTTAAAAACACCTATGGCCCCATCATTAATTCCAGGAACATTTTCCAATTGCCATTCACTGGGCTTCCAATGAACATCCTGATACTATCTTCTGGGTTATGATGCTGTGTAGTCTGTAGATCATTACCAACTTTTCAGAGGAACCAGCTGCCCCATCTTGAAAGTAGGAAACTAAAGATGCTTCCCGCACATTTCTCCAAAACACTGGCAGTACAGATTACAAAGCATTACAACCCAGAACACAGCAATCTTCATAGTCATCACCATGAGAATAAAAAATCTTATCATCCAAAAACCTTTACTTTCCAAAACACTTCTAAGGAGCTTATGAGTGTTGCATGAATCGGGCAGTGGGAATAGACAAGTGTACAGTAAGATGGCCTTATGAGATATAACACCATATAAAGGGTAATTCATAAGTCCTTCCAGGATTGTTGTGCTGCCGAGTTCGGAAGTAACTCACTCTGAGGAGGCCCTCAGTTGATAATTATAAATCATGTAATGATTTACCAATGAAAATAAAAATTTGCAAGTATATATCTTGGAAAGTGTGATGATGACTGGGTTATAGAAAATGTTGAAATTTGTCTTCCTCCACCTGGAGACAAAGACAATCCATATATGTACACATTATTCCATCATACAACACAGAGAATCGCTGAAGGAAATGGCAAAAATTGGACAGGTGTTGCAAAACACATAATGTTATCAAGTTTCAATTTCACTTGAGAATTACTATATAATTTACAATTATTACGTCCCGGGCTCCTCCAGGTGAACTAATCTGTGGATAAGGATCAACATTTTGGAGGAGCCTGCTCGCTCCGGCTTCAGGTTCTTCAAAAATGTTTGTACCCTTCCATTGCACTACACACTGCCACTCCAGAAACCTTAATCTTAACATGTACCACTGTGACATCTTCAAATCTCAGTAATACAATAAACAATGATACTCACTCTCACGAGTTTAATAAAATAAAGACAAACACGGTGTTCTACATAACCAGCTCTTCCATGCATCACTCCCATTACTGCACAACTTACCACACATTAACAAAAGTAACTGTACAAAATAAGAAGTATATAGGTCACATGCTTCCCCCCAAAATGTTTGTACAAAGGAATGCATATCTTTCATGCACGCCACATGATGTCAGGCCTTGATCGAGAGGTACATCTTTGACTTGATTGTCTGCCTCACTGGATTTATCCTCTTCAGTATCTGGGTCATGACGTTCACAAGTTGGTCAGACGTTAAACCTGTCTTCTTGGACTTAAACTTCTGTAGCAGTTCTGTGGTGGTCATTGGCTTCCGCATCAAGTAGCGTCGCACTGCGTCTTCCGTTATACCCGAGTCACTGCAAGACATAATCATTTGTAGCGGAGTTAAAATTTATCAGCTGCAGAGATTAACACAGTTATCGTACTGAATAATGGCATTACTGAAGTTCAGCAAATAATTAATGAAGGAAATTTCTGTTATTATTCTGGTACGAGAACTGGTATCTTATGCTATTCCAAAAACACTGAGACTTTAATACATATGATACAAAACTTCTATTCTGTGTAAGAGGTCTCTTCAGTAACTATCAAGTTTAAAACATGAAATTATTCCACAAACTTGCAGGATAGCTCAGTTGGTATGACGATTACACTGTGGTCTACACAACCACGGTTAATTCTCGGCAGGCATCATGATTATCTTGGATATGATGACCAGAGTGCCCTGTGACCCACACAGCCTCCTATTCAATGGGTACGGGGGTTCTTTCCTCCAGCTTGCGAAGTGGCCAGGCTGTGAACGCGACAACTAGCCTCCATCTAGTGCAGTGGTCGGCGAACCGAGGTAAATTACCCCAAGTGGGGTAAAAATGAAATTCTTGGGGGTAATGAGGACTCAACAGACATAAATGAAATTATATAAAAAACGCGTTCCTTGCTACAACAGAAATTTTTCTTCCGGCATATAACCATCCGTAACAACGGCTGCTACGGAAATTGTTTAAGGGTCCATCATGACAGCGTGACGTCATCACTAAACACTTCTATAGATGAACGCACCCAGCATGTTGTGGACAATAGCGTTAGTTGTGGCTCGGCAGCCACCAGAAGCGCACGTCTTGTATAGGTCATTTTGGCCTAGTCACCTATTGTTTTATCTTATGCTCAAAAACTTCGACGATCACGGTAAGATAGTGTCTTGTTAGCAAGGATTTACTATCAATAAATTCATTCATTCATTATTTAATAAGCAAGCGAAATGAAGTTTTTCATGAAACCGACGCACTATCATTTATGTGCAGTTTGATCTTGTCACACTGAATCGGTAATTTCGTGTTATAGCACATGTGCAACTAACCGCCTGAGCTATGGCGTGGCCTCCAGTACTGACTTACACATATTGTACATGCGGAGGTTTCCTCCACATTACGCGTGTCCTCGTGTAACTATAAGAAACGCGTGTGCTGAAGGGTTAAAACTTTTTGAATCACTGTCTCTTTTACCCCTCAGATGACATCAACTAGAAAACGAATATACCAGGAAGAGTTCCTCAATTATGGGTTTACACAAATAGAAGACAAAGGAATAATGAAACCACAGTGTGTTGTCTGTTTGAAAGTACTGACTGCAGAATCTTT